TGCCGTCGATCGTCCACGCCCCACGGAAGCCCCAGACGCCGGAGATGCGAGCGGCGCTGCATGCGCTGTGCTTTGTTGAAGAAAGCAAGGAAGGGGGAGCTTGGAAAACCGTACCTCTGAGCCAGGGAGCTGGGACATCATGGGGGAAGGGTCGAGGAGGCCGACCGACGGCATCTGCCGTCCGCAAGTGGCGTGCCGCGCCCTCGGCACCATCAAGGCGATTACTATGTATGGTAGGCTGGCTGTGTCCGCCGCGTCGCCGTCAGTTCGAATCTCGCCGTTCAGGCCTTTCGACGTGCACGCACGCCCCGACAGGCGGGAGACACCACGCAGTCCTCCTAGCTCATCAGTGCCCCACCCGATGGTTGCACCTCCAGGTGCTGTTCCTCTCCAGTTTCTCGCGCGACTGCGGCTGGTGGTATACGCTGGTCGGAAACTTGATGGTAAAAGCTGCTGGAGATGCCGCGAGCGTGGCCTCGTGTACAGGTTTCGCGTATTGGAAGCTGCCGTGCTTGCTCCTTTACACATCTCCTTTCACTGTCTTCCGCTGTCACATTAATGCCCCGCGGCATCGGAGAGGCTGCAAGCGATGATGGAAAACACCTTTTTCTTGAAGGCGCACTTTTCATGAATACAAACGATCCCTGACGACTTCGATTCCTTTCGCCCATTAGACTCAAAGAGTTCAAAGCTTATCCATGAAGATTTAAGTCGTGCCGCGAGCGCTTGTCCATCCGCCGACCCTCCCCGTACAATGCCCACGTATCAAACCCCACTTCCCAAGTCCAGGACGGTTAGCGACAACTTCATCTACGTCTGGAGATGCTGAATGTTATGTCAGCTATACAGCAAAGGCGTCCGCGCGCTCCTGTACCCTTGCCTTGAAGGTCGAGGAAAAGGTGTGGTTGTCTCGTATCAAGGAGATAGACGGCGTCCCAATCGCCGTTATCTCTATGCAGCGGATGAGCTCGGGTATCGACGACAGCAGAGCTACGTACACGACATCATCGTCAACATCGCTGTCGGCGGTCGGCAGTACCGTTTTCGTGTCTTCTTCAAGAGACACAAAGCCCTTCCTGAGAACCAGGCCATAAAAGCGCTTCCCGGGGCGACGGTGACATTCGACGGTGACGTCGTGCTTGCTGCGATTGGACCAAGGGTCGCCATTCGCAACATGGGTCCTAGGGCCGAGCGAGCAGCCGCCGATATAGCTATTTGCGAGTATGTCTTACTGGCCATGTTGCGGAACGTGCACTGATCGATTTTCCCTGATGAAGGCTCGCGCGTAGGCTCGGTCCTTTCCGAACCCGCAGACGATATCCATCCGAGGTATATCTGTAGGCCACGGCTGCTGTCGCGCATTCCGGAGCGGTGCTGGGGAAAGTGTGGTGACCATTATTCAAACCTAATATGGCCTGAAATTAACGAGATCCGACCTGTCCTGACTCCTGAACTGATCCGATGCTTTCATGGGTACGCTCACTAGTCGTCAGCGCGCGTCTAAGTCACAAAACATGTCTCTACTCAACTTCCGCTTTCGCGTTTGTCCATAAAACCCTCAACGGTTATAAGGGCACCTACATAATATGTTTGGAGAATCCGAGCGATTGAGGAGGCGGGACGAGCGCCTATTGTGGCGTACTCGGCTCTTTCGCATCTCCCAGCTGTTCTCGCGCCCATCATAGCCGCTAGGTCATTTCGCTGTCGCTGTCACGCTTCATCATTTCTTTCCTCGGTCTCCACCCGTTCAACGCTACTTTTCCCCGTCCTGATCCAACGCGCAAACAACTGTCAGGGTTCGTGTCCCGCAGGCAGCTAGGCTTTGACTCACGTTGGTACGTCGGTTGACAGCCGCAGACCATTATTATGGACGAGTCGGCGGCGTCCATTACCCTTCTTCCTCCCTGCCCTACGCATTTGACAACACTCTCGCCGACCTTATCATGTCCTTCTGTGTCTCTGCGTCCCCATGACACGTCAAAACTACACGCAAGCAGCTGAATAGTGCAATTTGACGGCAGTAAAATGCGCGTAGAGCCTTCGCATCCAGGCAGGGTGGAGATGGTGAACGAGAGCGAAGGTCGAAGTTGACGCCCATGTTAGGGAAGAAGCGTAGCCAGGGGACGAGAAAGGACGGAGAGGCAGGCATCAAGCCACTGCGGAGCCTAGAGCGATGGGCATAGGTCAGTGGTGGACATAGTGAAGGTGAGACAGACGCTACCTCCTTGCTGCCGACCTCAGACACACCATCTTCGGCTTCGTTGTGCATTGTCCCCTCGCCTGCTTTGCTGCGCCCATCCTCTTTCTTGCGGGGTGCGGCATGGCTTTGGGCATCTGCCACACCCCGCGGGGGCGGGCGCGATGAGCATTTGAACGGTGAGTGCGTTCAGGCGCCTGGAGTGAACCGTCTGGAGCGTGTACGAGGCTAGTGAGCAGCAGAGAAGTCAAATACCAGACGTTGGCGAATGACGACTGAAGGCATGAGTAGCGATGACGCGTTCTATGTTGCACCGCTATACAGTCCCGTCCTCTCGTCATTTTTCGCGTACTTCTTCCAACTATCTTCGCATGAGGCGTGACGGCCTCCTTGCCCCGTCCTACACACTCGCTCTGCGGCCACCTCAGGTGTACAGTTCACAGTGGAAATCAAGCCGCGGGGGGCCATAACACTGATCTCTTCGCCCTTAATCGACTTTTGAACGCCTGTACGCGAGCCCCAAACTGAGATATGATGCATACCAGATATATAAACCGGGAGAGGGCGCAATAGCACACCTCGAGACTAAAGATGGATAAGGGAGAGATATCCGTGGCATGGACTGAGACAAGGGGGAAGGGCCGCGACGAGGGAACGACATGATGGTGTGTGGGAGGGAAGGAAGGAATTCGAAGGAGGCTCGTCATCGTGCGGCCCGGCCGGCTGATCTCGAGCTAATCGATCACTTCGAAGTCCACGTTTTGGTCCCGCAGCCAGCAGCCAGCTGCGGCCAGTCGTCGAACAACTTTGAATAGACCGAGGATCGGCGCCCCTTCGCAAGGAGACCGTAGAACGCGCAAGCCCTCGACATATTCTGTACACTGCAGACGCGTTTGTCATGTCCGTCCTGGTGAGTTCTCCGTGTCATGCATTATGAACCCTCTGAGCGCGCTCGACAATCAGCATGTACTTTCTACGCCTCCCAGACGAGCAACAGGCTAGCACGCGTCTGCCAGCCCCTCGCCGAGACTCGCCATGGTGCGTCAGGCGTCATCGGCCTCCACGCGGCGGGCTGCTGATGGAGCCAGCGGCGCCTGTCGTTCTACAACCTGCGCAATCCCCACTGCAACGATCTAGCCCAATTTTGACGACTCCCGCCACGTACCATCACTACTCAACAACGTTTCCTGTATCAAGAAGTTGTCGCAACAGGCTGATGTTGTCGTAGAGGAGGGCGAAGGTGCGTGCGCCCATTCCCATGGTTGAGACACCCAACTCATATGATATTAGCGGACGCGGCGGCGCTTCACCGGGGAGAAGTGTCGCTGCCAACGCGGCTGCTGGCGGTCTTGGGGCGTCCGGGGAGGTAGGTGATCGACATGTTGCGTCGATCGGACCAGTTGCTAATATCTGCCCCATTGGCTGTTCGACCTTCCCCAAGACGGTCTTCGGCAACACCATGGGATCTGCGACGACGAGATCCCAACGTACAGTGCCAGGGTATCTCTTAGGAGCTCATGCACGAGGAGTTCCGTGGCGAGGTCATCTACAATGTTGAGACGGAGGTCCATTACCACCATCTGCAAGTACTTCGCTTAACACTTCCGCATGATTATGCTCATTCCAACCGCAGTACGATCAGCGACACTCTGCTCTTGGCCGGGAAGGCCCTCTGCCCCCGTATGCGTATCGAGGGCGTCTCGCGCGAGGATCGGGCTCAGCATATGCGCGTCATGTCGCGCTCGGTATGCCTCGAAACGATCTCACTGACGCTATTCCACAGATGTGGTCATGGCTATGTATGATAAGTCCTGGCGGCCTGGGCACTCGAACTCAATGCCAATTTCGATGCAGTCTGAGCCGTACTGTGAGGACGCGCGTTGAAAATGATTTCATCCGTGGCGTGAGGTACTTGCCTGGCCAGCATCTCTCATGCTTCCTGCTGATCCTTCAACAGTGGCGGCGAGTGCAGGCGGGTCTCCATCGCAGAGGCCACCTCCTCCTAGGCGTACGTCCGATTCTGGGACATCGCTTTACCCGTGATCTCGACTTCGCGACGGCGCTCGAGTACATCTGCACCTTCTGCAGCTAGACCAAGCTCACAGGCTCCACGCCGCTCGTCGTCATCTATCAGGCCTCGCAGTCCGCGCACGATCTCCTCTACAAGGTCACTGCTCTACGAGGGCCGCCAGATCTACTTCGGCCGCACCGCCGACGCGGAGGCATTCTTCCCCGAGATGGGGTACGAGTGCGCGGAGACTTCTTGACCTCGCTCGCGAACCCGCGGAGCGCATTGTGCGCCCCCTTTTTGAGAAGAGCGACCTTCGTACGCTGGACGAATTTGCGCAGCAGTGGAAGGAAAATCCTGATTGGCAACAGCTGCTCTGCAGAATGAGGCGCACAATGCGGAGTTCCCGGTTGACGTCGAGCAGTAAAAGAAGTTCCAGCGCTTGCGCCGCAGCCAGCAGTCCAAGGACTTGTACGTGCGCCGTCGTAGGCACATGCATGCGGATACTGATTTTGTTGCAGGAGCGTCAAGTCCTCGTACACGCTCTCCTTCGGCAAACAGATCGGTCTTCGTGTCGAGCGTGGCTTACAGCGGCTCAGGGGCGACATGACCAACTTCTATGTCACCGTATTCGGTAACTCTGTCATGGCCCTCATCATCACAAGTATGTCCTAGAACATGCAGCCGGATACGGATACTATCTATCCTAGTGGGGCTGTCGTCAAACATCAGCACTTCGCTCGCGGTCAACCTCGCGTATGTCCAACCTGCGCCGTAAGGTCGGCCCGTTCTTCCTGTACCTTTACCTGCACGACGACCATGTCCATGATCTTCCGGAACATCGTCTCTGCGACTCGCACGCTTTCCCAACCCATGCCTTGACTGGTGACTTTATGCTGGCGCTCGTCATCTACACTAGTACGTCGTTTTCGCCGATTTTTTGGCCGATCGTACTCAACCGGCAATTAGGCTTCACCATTCCAACGCGGGACACAATGGTCTGGTTTCACTGGATCATCTGCCCCATTGGCTACGCCTTCGAGACCATCCCGGTCATGGAGTCCAACGGGCGCGTCTTCAACTGTTTTCAGTACGTGTGCATGGGCCACGGCTACGAGACCCTGTCCGGCGAGGAGTTTGTATGCGCGACGACGGGTGCCGTGCTGAGATGTACTGTCGTCTACGGCCTGGATTACGTCAACACGACCTACGACTATCGCATGTCTGGCGTACCTTTGGTATTCTAATCGGCTTCATGGTGCTCTTCTGCGGGACGCACTTTCTCGCGACGGAGAAGATTGCGGCTCCGAAGTCCAATGTACGACCGACAACTAATCATGATAGTCTTCCTATGTGTGCTCATCGTATCCCAGGGTGCAGTCTTCGCCTTGCGGTGGAGCCGTCTTCTCAAGCGCTGTGGCCAGGACGTCGGGGACGCAGCTGGCGGCGCGAAGTTCGCGGACAACAATAGCGTCGGCTAGGACCGCACCGTGGCCGCCATTCAGCTCCTCACCAAGATCTTCTACTAGGTCGACGTCTGCTACTTCAGAATAAGGAGGACCACCGCCTGGTCGGTCACGTCGCTGATTGGGTTAAGCGGGTTAAGCCCGGCACGCTCACGGCGCTTGGGCGTGTCTCCGGTGTTGGCAAGATCACGCTCCTCGACGTCCTGGCTACTCGTACGATTACGGATGTTATCACTCGTGAACGGCCATCCGCGCGATCGTTGTAAGTCTCTACGTCTATCATCACTGGGCGGCGCTGGTGACAAGTTTTCGCGTCGAATATGGCGTCAAGGAATTGTGGGCGCGGTAGATGCGCTGAATCTGCAGAAGACTTGGAGACCGAAGGGCAGCGATTGGCCACTGTGGCCCTGTGATCGACGTGCTCCGTTTCCCGGGGCCCGCAGTCGGATGTGTTCCAAAGCCTGAGCGCGCTCAAGACGCCTCATGCGTCAAGGCGAATGCGCAGGGCTTTCCTGCCATCTCGCCACCACCTCCTGTGGCGCGACCGGCTGCTGGACATTCGGTGCTATGCTCTTCGTAGACCTGCCTTCGCGCCAACTCTCCGCAAGTGGTATGCTGAACGCAGTCAAGGTCGATCTCAGCACACTGCGTGTCCTCGGGGTCGGCGGGCTACCTGTTTGGCGAGCCTTTGAGGAATAGTGGGTGAAGCGGGATGAGGAAGCGGGGTTATGAATGACGGAGAAGGAAGGGGCGCGTGGCTGGGGAGGCAAAGAGGGTGGGGGAGACGGGGGCGACATTGGGTGAAGACGATACGTCGCAGAGTGCAGAGTGCTTGGTGATACGCAGGGCGCGTCGCTCCTCCCGAGCCCGAGCTCACTTCCCCCACGTATCATGTACACTCGAACATCAGTGCTTTGCCGATTTATCCTACCTCATTGTCTAGGCGCCCCGTCGAGCCTTCTGCGTACGCGATGAATATCCTCAGTATAATGGGGCCCTCATGCCTTACTGTGTTGCTCTCGAATTCGTTCCGGTTCGCTCGCCGTCCCAGGATTTCAATATTACTTGTATGCATGAGATAGATTGAGAACGACACTGAAAGATTTCGGGGCTTCTGTTGTGGAGGGCGTTGCATATCATTCCGTTACTCTAGCTATTTTCGAGCCGTACATCGCCGACTTGTTCACGAGCCCGACCCCTCGGGCTTGACACCCCCACTGCTCTCTTTGAGCTGAGCCAGCTCTGCCTTCTGCTTCAGGCGAGCGGTATTGTTCTGTAGATAGTGCAGACGGCTACTGGCGAAGGCGCGAATAGGCCAACGGTCCTGAAAGTCGTTGCCGAACTCCGGGAAAAGCTTGAGCGCCTGTCATAGTCGCGTCCATTAGAAGCCTTATACTCGAGCGAGTGTCTTACCTCCTCCTCAAAGACTTCTAGACGTGCCGAGGTTTGCTTGGTCAGAGGACGCGATGTGTCCAGGAAGGAATCCACCAGCTGGTTCATGGAGCGCTGCAATGTAATTGAGCATCTCGTAACTGACGCAGGATAACGCTGCTTACCCGAACTGCATTGTAGCGGTCGGAGGGCCAGCCCAAGGCCTCTTTCAGACTGTAGCCACCGTTGCTCGGCTTCCCGGGCTCACCATGAGGCTTTCGGATGCGACGTGCATCAGTCGGAAGAGGGTCCGTAGACCGGCTAGGGGCACGGGCAGAGCTGCCGCGGCTTTGAGGTGCAGACGTTCGAGCGGGGGCTCGGGCAAGCGAGATGGGTTTATGATCATGATCGATGCTGTTGTTGTGTGCAGGGCCAACGACAGGAATGCCAGTCTTCCATCCGTCGGGGCTGGCACGCTGCGGTGTGAATGAGACTGGAGGAGAATTGCCACTCCAACAAGGCGAGGGTCTGTCATCGTCTGAGCCTTCGCTCTCCGAGTTGGAATCGCTACTGCCATCGTTATCCTCGATGACCGTACAAACTCCGCCGCCTTCGGAGGGCTCTATAGCGGAGGGGACCGATGATTGAGCTGGCGCATAGGGACCATCAAGCTGGTGAGAGGAGGTACTGATGTTGACTTCGACGCTAACAGGGAGCGGGCGGCGGTCAGCGGTGTCGTAAAACTGGTTTTTCACGACGACCTCGACGTGTTGCTTGAGGCGTCCGTAAGAAGCGGAGAGCATGGTGAACTGGTGAACTGGGAACCACGGATGCTGTCTGCGGTTTATAAAGCAGACCAAAACCGACGCGAAGACCCTTGCTGCTGCGTCGAACGAGTGACTGGCTTTCGAAATCCTGACCTTTGACGATGCAAATGACGCTTTCGAGTAGACCGCTGCAAGAGGATCGGCGCCATGTCAAAGGGAGAACAAAGCCTGCTCGAGCTTTGATATACAATGGCGCAACGCGATGCGTCAATCATGTGAAGGGGTCCAAGGCGACGTCATTCTCGAAGGTCATTGAAGGGCTTCGCCGCTACGTTCTATTGTCCATTGTCGCTGAAAGAGAATGAGCTTCCAAACATCGCCCCTAGACCTTTGACTAGCCGTATTCGGAATGTCGTGGGAATTGACCGCCACATTATAGTTGGTAGTCCTTGCTGCTTTCTTCTGTCGCTCGAATTATGCGAGTGTTTGCGATGAGTCTATACTGCCATAGGTGATAGCATCGAAGCTGGGACACTACAGCAACTGGTGTTTATATAAATTATGCACTTGCTACGTGAACAGAGCTGTCGTTGTGTAGTGGTCTAACTACGCAGCATGAACACCTGTGGTGCAGCGTTCGATCCTGACTGTGGATGCTTCACAGTTCTTTTTGACCTAAGCACAGGCGCGCTGTGCCTTCGCAGCACATTGATACAGAGAGTAATTTTGCATTGAATACAAAGCAGAAAGTATACTGCTTGTTCGCGCTACAGGTCTTCCTCCAAATCACCGCCTGCGGCACGCGCACCCTCTCTTGATGGCCATCGTCATAGGTTTGGCAAAGTTGGCATGCTCCCTTCAATGCTGTGGACGACTACGAGGATTTGGCCCGATCACGGTACATCTACGAAGACGCAAGTGCGTTGAGCAAGTCCAACTCACTGGGTTATCTGCCTGAACAAATACCTGAAGTAGTTCAGCGTGCTCTTGTACTCGCGCCCAATGCAGATCAAATTCGCCATTGGTTCCCGATGGATGCTCAATCAGCCAATCGTGCATGCAGTGGTTCCTGCTCTCGACGGATCAGTTTTATGGTATCGAGCGAAGGAATATCTACAGACCGTGCGGTGTTCTTTCCTGAGAGCTTGGCGGGCTTGTCGTGGTTTAGCTTCGCCTTGCCCACTACAACGTCCTTACGGGCACGATCTTGGTATGGCTATGGTGTGGATAGTCAGCCTCTCGTTCACTGGTAATGATGGATTGCCTTACTTTGAGAAGGTCAGCGTTGGCTCGTATATTCCTCCAGTGTGCATCGAATTGACCGTTGGTCCCACGCGGATGGTCTTGCAACCAATCGCGCAAGCAATGATTACTATGCGTCGTCAGTTAAGCGTTGCGAACTTCAGACGACGTTGTCCGAACCGTGCCGTATTCTCATTACGCTGCTTAGCAATCTTGTTGGCATTCTTCTTGACTTTGACAGGCTCTTTCACAGAGCCGTCTGATACCTCCAGTGCAGATGTTGAAGGTCCTCTGTCGGCTATAGGATTCGCAAGGATGCATGACAACGCGGAAGGCTGCTCAGATATAGGTGGATGAGGGCGTTCGTGAACATCGGCCTCATGAGGTAGTGCCGACGCATCAACAAGATACGAACGACCGGGGCCCCGGTCAGCCGACGTGAGTTCGGGTCCATCTACAGGTAGAAATTGGACCGAGCGTCCCATGGCTGAGACAACTTTCTGCCGGGATCTATGAGCGGCTTACATCGTCATAGATGAACATTGACATACTTGGACGAGAGATATCTCTTTCTGGATTCTGCTTATGATCTGCTGACAATGTTGGGCGCGCGCCTCTGCACACTCAAGCCTCTGCGCGGTCTTCAGTGTCTTTTTAGTGACGCGGCAATATGGCTCACCTTGGCTAACCTTTCCTGTCGCTGCTCCAGAGATAATATGGCTTGTTCGTGGTTCTCCTGAACTCGTCTTAAACGGGTACGCTCGCCCATAAGTAGACGCGTACCTTAAGTTGGCTGAGAATGATGCGCCAGGTGTCCCTATTCTTCATGCATTTTTCCCGATCTGCCTCAGTGTTTGTCGCCCTGGTCTAGAGCTGCTAAGAAGGTTTCTTTGGCTCAGCTACGCTTATCGCACCTGAAGTCCGGTGATTCCAATTTCAATCTCACCCTCCTGCCAGTGTTGTCCATTCGGACGTGATTGTATACCTTGCGGAGGGAAGGAACAATTGTAGTGTTCGCGACTTGGAGCGGGGCATGCCCCGATGTTGGGGTGCACCGAGGCGCTTTCTGACCACTGACCCGCGACATGTTCTTGCCAGCGCCGCTGAGTGATATTTTTTAGCCATAGACAGTCACATATCAGAAGAATACGTACCTGTAGCGAGTCTGCCGTAGCTTGCAACGCAGTAATTTCTTCATTCTTGGTCACGATGGCCCTGCGGAATCGATCATGTTCCGCGTCATCATCGTCCTGAGAAGCTTCAACCGTCACGGTGATGAATATGAGCTGGTACTCAGGTTACGCACCATGAGGGAAGAGAGCTCTCGTCCTTGCGACCAATTCTCTTTTTCAAGCCGACGTATGGACAGACTCAGCGCTTGTACTTGATCCAAAAGATCTCCTTCATGGGACGTATGATCCTGAAGCTGGCGGACGGACGACCCAGAGACTTCTATATCCTGGACGACATTAGCATGCTTGATGGAACTAAGGAGGCGACTTACCGAGGAAGTATCATGGTCACCCGGTTCGTCAGAGGCCGAGATAATTCTGTCCATGGAGAGAGAGAGAGAGACAGAGAGAGAGACTCTGTCATGTCTGCCACCAGCTTTATAGAGCAGAGGCTGTTCCTAATTCATTGATGACAATGGCCTTGTTTACTGGGAATCGCAGTAGGTCGTGCTGAAAGAAGGCTGAGCGATGGGAAAGAGAGTAAAGGGATGGCTTGAGCTCTTCGGCACATATCAGCGTGGTAGCGGACCCCATCTTGAATGTGCATCAAAGTGAAGCTATTATGCACAGTTAGGTGAATCGCCGGATGGTCTTAGCACGGGGGCGATGATGCGCCGGATAGATGGGCGACAGAGTGAGCGCACGCGTTTACGTGCTGGAGGCCCGTCTGATTCGAGGATCAAAATAGCGGCCGGTGCCACTGCAGTCGAGCAAAGTTCGAGGGAAAATATGTTGCACGTTTGGTTGCACGTCGCACCAGAGCGGCGGTCTTCAATCGCGGTGCCGCTTCTGATGCTTTTCCTAATGGGTCCGTTTGGGATGCACCACGTGCTATTGTGATAGATGACGGTTGGTCACGCGAGATCAATCAAGTATCAACAACGCAATGATTATCGGAATGGATGTTAATGATTGTTCCTTTCGACTTCCTTCGACTTTCTACGATGAGGTAGGCCCGCGCTAAGGCTACCATTTGACACATGCAAAGCTCTTTGAACTTGATTCTAGTGTACCAACCAGCGAACCTGGGACTACTTTGCGGACAATGCGCTCGATTTCTTCGATCAACTACACGTGGCTTTCGACCCCTACGAAGACAAAGCAGCGTAAGGTCATGCTGCCTAAGCGCAAAGGAGCATGCGCCAGGCCAAGGCAGCGCTCTTCCCCTGTCGTGTCCTGCTAAGTACTGGCAACCTCGTCTCTTCCTCCCATACTTCACGGAATGCGTACGACACCTGGCCGCGATTCTTGGCGTTACGCCGAAAGCGATCAGGACGGCAGATTCTACGATACCGTCGATCGCCAGCCATTCCTCGCTGAAGTCATCCGCACACCAGTCTCTCGTCGGCGCATGGCACCGTATCCAATGGTCCAGCTGAGGCAGACGCTGCAACGAGTGAGGCCAGAGGCCATGGATCAAGAGATCATGACGCGCGTACCTCCTCAGACGTCATATCCGCACACGAACCCTCTCGCCCCTCAGACGTCCAGCACTTCAGTCGCAGACAGCGACTTTGTGCCATACACTGGCTCCAGTCGTAACAGCACATCGGACGAAGAAGAGGAACAGCGCCGTCATCGGACCCGACCCCTTGCAATTTCCCCATCCCTCGACAGCGATCCTGGCGCATGGGTGGACCGCGTCGCGGACGATTGTGCTGGACTCTCGGACCGACCGGCTGGCAGGGCAGTCTCGCGCGACATCGCCGAAGCGGCTACGGACCCCATCGTTCCGACGACGGCCACTGAATCCTCGGACCGACAGACTGCTGGGGCAGAGCTGCGCGAAGTCGACGAATTGGCCACGGACACAGCCGCTACGACGAGGGATGAATCCCTGGACCGACAGACTGGTGGAGCTGTGCCGCACGACGTCGCCGAAGCTGCTACGGGCACCGCTGCTCCCGCCCGAAGCAGCCGAGTCATCGCTGCCCGTATGTATGTCCCTCAGAACGGCACCTATCCGGATACTGAACAGGTACACAACGAGCTTCACATCCGCGCCTCAGACGACAACCGTTCGGATCGCGATCTTGATCGAGTACCGGAGGGAAACCCTTCAACTCCACGCGAAGCCATCGTCCTGCCAGACACGACCAGCATGCGCACGCGGAAGCCAAAGGGTGAATGTGGCAAGCCTGGAAAAGGGGGGTACAATCTTCAGGATGCACTCGGCTGGCCTGCACACAAGTATAACAATGTTAGGGTCAGTCACTCTTCGTTCATCACCATCTGGCCCACTGAAATAGTTGGGCAGAAGGAGATCAATAAGCTCGTAGACCGTATATTGGACGGTACAAAGTCCCTGACCAAGCAGGAGCCGGCACGCATCGAGAGGCTAGAGCTGGAGGTTCGTACCTCTGAGCATCCCACCGACCGCCGGTGCAAGTGCTGACGTTGGGACCCGCAGGCAATCCAAAATTTCCCGGAGCTCGATACTGATTACGAGGAACGATGGCCCGTTCGTGACTTTGCCGTTAATCGTCTGCATTACCTCCAGAACCATGCAATGCGTCGTTTGCAGAAGCAAGCGCTCGATACCCTGCAGAATAGAGACGCAACGACGAGGCCTAAGGCGAAAAAACATTGATCATTGATACACTTACTGTTGATTATCTACATTTTCGTATGTCTGGCGCAGATGATTACGCGGAACATAAGCTGATGGCAGCAAGGTGAGGTAAACCGAATGCACCGAGAGTAAAACGAGAAACCATACATATATAGTAATCGCCTTGATGGTGCCGAGGGCGCGGCACGCCACATGCGGACGGCAGATGCCGCGGAAGAGGCGAGGGTCTGAAGACTGAGGAACAGCACCTGGAGGTGCAACCATCGGGTGGGGCACTGATGAGCTAGGAGGACTGTGTGGTGTCTCCCGCCTGTCGGGGCGTGCGTGCACGTCGAAAGGCCTGAACGTCGAGATTCGAACTGACGGCGACGCGGCGGACACAGCCAGCCTACCATACATAGTAATCGCCTTGATGGTGCCGAGGGCGCGGCACGCCACTTGCGGACGGCAGATGCCGTCGGTCGGCCTCCTCGACCCTTCCCCCATGATGTCCCAGCTCCCTGGCTCAGAGGTACGGTTTTCCAAGCTCCCCCTTCCTTGCTTTCTTCAACAAAGCACAGCGCATGCAGCGCCGCTCGCATCTCCGGCGTCTGGGGCTTCCGTGGGGCGTGGACGATCGACGGCAGTGAGATTAGGTGAGCGCCTGCCTGCGTTCTCTCTCGACCACGCTCACGCACGAACAGCTGTCTCGCCGTCGTTGCTGGACATGCGTCCTCCTTCGGGGCACCGTGCCGCTTGCGACCAGCGGCTTGAAGTCGTCGCCACGCTGACCCGCGCAGGCAGGGCGCGATGAGGCGAGGGTCGCAGGTGCGTACTCTGCATCTCCTTCTTTCTACCATCGCTGACGAACAAGCAGGCTCTGACAGGTCGGCGCCTCCCTCCCGGCTTCTGCAATGTTTGGCTCCTTCTCGCTCGCTCCCGGGCTCGGTCGACGCGTCGGACATCTCCCAGAAGCCTCGGCGTCATGCTGGGGATGCGCCGCGTCCGTGCTGGCGTGGTCTCGCGAGCGTCAGTCACGGCTGGCCTACCGCCCTTGAGAAGATCCGTCTCTCCCGCTGGCGCCAGGACCGGGTTGCCGCTCTTCCGTGTGATCAGCTCCCATGCGTAGGACGACCGACCGCATCGATGGCGGCCCGTCGTGCAAATGAGTGCGTGAATCCGGGCTCGTCCGCGTCGAGGCTCGCTCTAACGTGCACTTTCTCAGCGCACCGGACCGTGATCAGCGTAGCTCATCTGCGCTTGACTCGCCACCGGCCCTCTCGGCGATCTCCTCCCCCGCTCGTCAACTTGCGCCCCGCCCCTGCGCTTGTCCGACAACGCGGGCAAGATATCCACGATAGACCAACGTCTCACTCGATCACCATGGTCAGCAGAGACCGCCAGCGGGTTCTCAAGAGTGCTCGGCCTCGGAGCGACCTCCAGCTTGCGTTGGTGTGCGACGAAGCTGACCTTGGGACCTCCATACAACACATTTACGCACTGTTCTGTAGAATATTCGTCTGCTATTCGACCGTTTGCTGCTCAGACGTGAGCTCGTGCCCCTCACCCACTGTTTGGAGCCGCCGGTGCTTCGACGATCACCTTACCCAACGGGAGCGATCTCTGCAACCCGAAGATCAACACGACGTCGATCCTCGACTTTGTCAACGACGAGTCGGCTGCTGCGAAGCTGGTGGCCGTGCGGCTGTTCAACTCGGACGGGGCAGGCCTGCGATGACCCTGGACCAACGCTACTTCTACTTACGCCCACCGCCCACGCTACGCGCACGGCTCCGACGACAGCCGGTCCGCCTCCTCGCACGCCCTCCGATTCGCGCGCGCCCCGTCGGGTCGTCGTGCAACATCACCAGTCCCTTGTCATCCCCGTCGCGCGGGGCATGAGCACGATGATCCCGCGGGCATCTCGCCAGCTTGGACGTTTGACTCGCTGCTCACACGCGGTGCGGCGCTCGTCATGTTCTGTCAGTTCCTGCTCATGCTGATGAAGGAGAGCTCCTCCTCCCACGATGCTGCTGGTGGTCGTGAAAATGGCGGACGACATCAGGCGGAGAGTACGCTACCGTTACGCGAGACGGCGATAGGCGGGTGGGGCGAGGAGGCGTACGATCCGACGCTCACTGCAATGCATCTGGCCGGAGGTCCTGGTGAACCGCCAGCCGTTGGCGGCGAGCGCCTCCCCCACGCCGCACTTCTATTCGCTGCTGCGGCCGATATGTCGAGCAATTGGGCCGGGGGCGCCTGTATCGACGTCCAGGGAGGTGCTGCTCGCACCTGCGCGCCTCATTGGCCGGGATAACCATAACCTGCTTGTCCACCTCCACCTCCCTGTACTGCTGCTGCTCACGCGCCTGCTATCGCGTCCTGCGAATCTTCAGCACCCGCTCACGACAGACTGGCGGCGTCTCGAGGAGCTCTTCCGGCTGGACTCGACAGCGTCGGTCCTCATCGGACCTGTGCGTCCCCGGACGCTCGATATCGTCGCGCCTCTGATCACCGACCTCCTGCGCGACCGCGTGAAGGCATCGCGCAAATGCTTCAAGCTCGGATCCTCGGACCTTGTCTTCGCGCACACTGTGATCCGCATCGCGGGCGAGCTTCGAGTGAGCCGATGGAACCGGTGACTGCTGGCAATGGAGCTGATAGAGCTGATGTTCGAGGGATGTTATGCGTCATCGGACCCGCCAGCAGTGAGGGAATCGTTTGCGGGTGGAAGGTGCTTCCTCAACAGTCCTGGACCCAACGGTGACGCCGGCGCTTCACATCCGGGTCGTCTCACAGCGAATGCGTTGGTGGGGAAGCACGCGTGCGACTTTGCGGACAATGGCCTTGGAAGTCGATGGGTGTCTAAAGGACCTTTGAGCGGTATGACCTGTGGGGACGCCGGGAGGGGGGGGGCGGCCGCCAGCATAGCGTCGACCTCGGTTCTGAAGCAATGGCCCTGGAGCGACGCGGAAGTCGCCGAGTCTCGGTTTCTGGTGCCGCCTGGAATGCTACCCTCTGGACTTCGGTATTCTACCACAGCACGCCCCGTAACATAGCTTTTCCTACTTGACCGTCGCCTTCACCGGAGCACGTCCCCGAAATTCACTCATGCCATCTCGCCATGTATACTGCTCTTTATTCGCAGCGCGACAAATTGTACGGGCTACTGCACTACTACCGAATGGCTACCAGCAGTTTAGAGTCCTGCCAAAAAGGGAACGGGGTGTTGCGTCTGCACAGACATAAGCGGAGAAATAAGGGTTGCCTAAACACTCACTACCACGATTGCGCCGTACACAATCAATAGCGCAATCACTATGCACCAGCACATGCGCTCGAAGGTGCCAGTACCAGGCTTTGAGGCGCCCGAGTCGCGACGCGCTCCAGCCAGCGTTGCTATCTGAGCATGGCCGTGCTCAGAGCGAGGCTTGCAATACAAAATGACGTCGGGAGGTCTGCGTATGCTTGATCCTGCAATCGCCACCAAATGCAGGTCAGTCACAGTACATGTCTGCTCAATCGTGAATACACAGAATGCCAGCCTGAGCTCAACGTACCGCGACTTGCTGGACCAATCCGCCCTTTGGGTAAAAGAGAGTTTGAACGAGGCTGCCGTCCACAACATTGTGCAGTAAAGCACGACCCTTGTCCGTTCCGGACACCAGAATGTCCCCGCCTTCCCCAAACGCCATGTACATGGGATAGTAGATGTCTGGTGCTCCGATGTCGATGCTCTTGATGTGTTTCTGCTTTTTCAGAAGGTTAATTTCGATGGTGGATCCCGTATGGGCGGCGAAGATCGACTTTGTCGGGTCCACTGCAACGGAGGCCCTGGTGATAAACGGTAAGTCTGGTATCCGAGAGCCATGCAGCAGGTTACAAACATCACGTCCGGGCCATCGTCCCTGTGGCCAGTCTCATGGCCTGTGTCATAGTCAAAACGCGCCCTTGAAGGAAAGGTCAACTCAATCACGGAAAATGGCCAGGTTTACACACATCGTTCCCCCGGTCGCGCTAAAGGCCACAATTGTTCGAGACGACGCATCGAACTTCACAGTCTTCGGGCAGAAGGGCGGAGGCAGGTCAACAACGAAGAGCCGACGAATTTGATCCCCTGAGGGGCTGACAAGGCAGACCAAAAGGCGGCCATTATCTGTGGAAACTGCAACGCAGCCCCACTCGTCGCATGGTACAGAACGACGAAGAACGTCCATTGACAAGACTTCTGTCTGTTCTTCTGAGCACCGAATGCGAGTTGTATGACAGAAAGCCTGGATTTTGTTCAGTGACGCTACGTGCGAAGAACGGTGTCTCATACGCCTCTGCTCGCGACCCACTTCCAGATGGCTATATCGCCACGCATCGAGCCCAGTACCAGAATGGGGATGCCCGTGTCCTCGAAGTGTAGCCACACCGAGCGGGTATAAATGTGCTTCTCTGTCAGCGTCGACGGAGGCGAGGGGATGGCGACGTCCTTCTGCGTTGCTACATCCCATATACAGACACCTGCATAGCCTTCAATTCGCAGAGTCAGTTGCTTGTGTGATACTAATGCACGCCTAGAGCATACCAGTTGCCACCAAGAATGTGCCGCACGCGGAGAAACCTATGGACAGGACCCCGTCCTTCTGGCCGGAGAGAACGGCGACTTGCGTATACTGAGTCATCAAGAATATCAGACCCACAGTGAGAGGTGAAGAGTGGAGGAAAAGGAAGGACTTTGCCTCGCATTTATATCTCTGAAGGGCCCGAAGACCATCTTGAACGCAGTGGCATAAAGACCTATGTTCTCATTTGCGTGGTTTTCCATGCGCCCGCCAAGGCAATGACGATTGGTCCGCGCACTAATGGTCGCGTAAGCCACAATGGACAGCTAACATACAATGGTCAAAGTTATAAAGGGAACGGGGTCAATACGCATGGTTGGATACGATGGATCCTTGGAGTTGGCGGGGAAAGGACGGTGCACCTCGTGGGGCAGTGTGATCCGTCGGACTTGCGTGACGGCTTGATGCCATGCGACTCTTATCACGCGCAGTTGCCGAGATCACGCGTGGCCATGTTCAACTTCACGATCAGCCGTCGCGGCATATGATTTCTTTGAGCTCTCATATGCCATGCACTGACAGACTGATGTCTGGAGTACGCGGTCTCTGGCCGCCATTCTTCCTCCAGCAAGGAAAGCGATGGCATGCTGCAGCTCGCACGACTAGGCGTGAATGGGCGCGCTGGGCTCGCCGAGGTTAGCACCCTCACAGGAATCGGGCAGGTCAAGATGCCTGTTATCCTCCTGGTGAGCCCACCGGTTCCACCTCATCGCACCGTACCGGCCTATATACAGACCACATTTCTTTCCTGATGCCATCAAGTTACTCCCTGCAAAACGTTCCTTGATCAGTGCCGGTAACTACCCTAGGTCGGCATGATAATCCGCGGCGCATTAAGTTGCTCCGGTCCGCCTTCGCGCGCGATGGTACAAAGCTCGGCGGGCCCGACGCGGGCGCCCATGCAAACAGTGACATACGAGCCATGCAGCACGCCCGCGCTTCTGCCGCGCGCGCTGTACGAGAGGGGAAGGTCAACGTCATGTGCTTGCCACTGGAGACCACGAGTGTGGAACAGGTTTCCTCCGAACCTTAGCTCTCATCTATCTGACTACGTGCTCGATTAGCGACTGATGACGTGTCCGATGCACGCTTAGCCCGGGATCTCTTTTATTGTAGTAACATTACAGTGCTCTATGGGACGTGAAGCTTCAGAACGCCGCGGTGATGGATCACCAGCCATAACAAGATGAAAGAGCAGGCCCAAGAAGAGATGATCTAAGTGATATTCAGTGGCGAAGGAAGGAAGAAATGGTCATTGACTGACGAGGTTACGCCACGTTGTCCCTCGGAGTGAATTTCCATTTGAAGGAGTCGGCGGTGTACAAGCCATTAAGTGGACTTCTGCCATGCGCGGGAGTAGGCCATCCCAAGACTCGAGGTCTACAGCAAGGAGCTCGCTCGTACCGTCGAACATCACGCGAACACGCCTGTACCAGAACTCGTCCCCTTCGATGTCGTCAGGTGGCTCAGTATAGCCAGACTCTGCGAGAAAGAATTCCCTGAGTTCCTAACGAACGTTGGTGAATGTCGTTTGCGAGAGTTCGATGACCAGAAACGTACATTGAGGCCGTTGAGCTGAAGCTGGCGTCTGCTGTGGGCCGTCCTGTCGTTTCCCACTTGAACGATCAAGACTGAGTCGATGGGTTGGGAATCAACCGGGAAAGGTTCGAAAGGTGGGCCCGCAGTCAGAGTTGGAGACGGAGTATAGGATATGGTGTCGGAGGCCATGACAAGGGCGAGATATTCCCAGCGCACCTGGCAAGCTTGGAGAGGATTAGCACGCAGTCTGGAGTTGAGGAAGGTATCTTATAAGGCGGTATCCATTCCTCGTCACAAAGCAAGAGATTCTTTCCATTGACTTGTTTCAGCGCATTGATCATCCTGCGCTTTCTTCCATTGTCGGTTGATCGGCTCTGATGAAGGGAGGTTGGATTGGCGATGGAGCTGCTTGGACGCACTAAGGAATCCATAATGCATGACTGCACGGCTGAAGCTCGTTTCGGGAAGAACTGAACGAACCGGTACCTCACATCAAAGGAAGATGGGCGGGCTACGCCGGGCGACAACCCGACGGGGCGCGCGCGAATCGGAGGGCGTGCGAGGAGGCGGACCGGCTGTCGTCGGAGCCGTGCGCGTAGCGTGGGCGGTGGGCGTAAGTAGAAGTAGCGTTGGTCCAGGGTCATCGCAGGCCTGCCCCGTCCGAGTTGAACAGCCGCACGGCCACCAGCTTCGCAGCAGCCGACTCGTCGTTGACAAAGTCGAGGATCGACGTCGTGTTGATCTTCGGGTTGCAGAGATCGCTCCCGTTGGGTAAGGTGATCGTCGAAGCACCGGCGGCTCCAAACAGTGGGTGAGGGGCACGAGCTCACGTCTGAGCAGCAAACGGTCGAATAGCAGACGAATATTCTACAGAACAGTGCGTAAATGTGTTGTATGGAGGTCCCAAGGTCAGCTTCGTCGCACACCAACGCAAGCTGGAGGTCGCTCCGAGGCCGAGCACTCTTGAGAACCCGCTGGCGGTCTCTGCTGACCATGGTGATCGAGTGGGACGTTGGTCTATCGTGGATATCTTGTCCGCGTTGTCGGACAAGCGCAGGGGCGGGCGCAAGTTGACGAGCGGGGGGAGGAGATCGCCGAGAGGGCCGGTGGCGAGTCAAGCGCAGATGAGCTACGCTGATCACGGTCCGGTGCGCTGAGGAAGTGCACGTTAGAGCGAGCCTCGACGCGGACGAGCCCGGATTCACGCACTCATTTGCACGACGGGCCGCCATCGATGCGGTCGGTCGTCCTACGCATGGGAGCTGATCACACGGAAGAGCGGCAACCCGGTCCTGGCGCCAGCGGGAGAGACGGATCTTCTCAAGGGCGGTAGGCCAGCCGTGACTGACGCTCGCGAGATCACGCCAGCACGGACGCGGCGCATCCCCAGCATGACGCCGAGGCTTCTGGGAGATGCCCGACGCGTCGACCGAGCCCGAGGGCGAGCCAGAATAGACCGAAGATTGCGGGAGCCGGGAGGGGGAGCTGGGGAGGGAGGCGCCAGCTTGTGGGAGCCTGATCTTGGTCAGCGGTGGTCAAAAGAAGGAGATGCGAAGTACGCACCTGCGACCCTCGCCTCATCGCGCCCTGCCTGCGCGGGTCAGCGTGGCGACGACTTCAAGCCGCTGGTCGCAAGCGGCACGGTGCCCCGAAGGAGGACGCATGTCCAGCAACGACGGCGAGACAGCTGTTCGTGCGTGAGCGTGGTCGAGAGAGAACGCAGGCAGGCGCTCACCTAATCTCACTGCCGTCGATCGTCCACGCCCCACGGAAGCCCCAGACGCCGGAGATGCGAGCGGCGCTGCATGCGCTGTGCTTTGTTGAAGAAAGCAAGGAAGGGGGAGCTTGGAAAACCGTACCTCTGAGCCAGGGAGCTGGGACATCATGGGGGAAGGGTCGAGGAGGCCGACCGACGGCATCTGCCGAGCGCATGTGCTGTGCCGCGCCCTCGGCACCATCAAGGCGATTACCATGTATGGTAGGGTGGCTGTGCCCGCTGCGTCGGCGTCCGCCCGAAATTCACCGTTCAGGGTCGTCCACATGTCGCGGGGTGGTCTGCTTTGTTTCTTTGATGAATGCGCCTTCGCCCTTTATGCCATTCAATGTGCAAGGTTGGCACGCATGGACCTCTCTCATGTGCATCACCTCTTTTATGCGATCTCTTCGATGCTTATTCGCTGCTTCTGCGCTCACTTCTCGTCGATCTACTTGCAGCCCAGCGCTGGTGGCCACCACTCGCCTCATCTACGCTGTCGACTGCTACGAAGCCCACTCACCACACTCACCATTACCAGTGGACCTGTCCTCGTGCATACTTGCTCTGCTTTCCCTAGTTAGCTGCCGCCCCCATGGTCGCAGCGTCTCGAAAACGAACAGTGGACGGCCCTTCTGAGGTAAGCGCTTCGTCAGGCGCGGAAGTCTGTCTGGCTAATAAGAAGGCTCAACATGTCGGTGCCGTTAAGGTCAGGGTGGTGGAGTCCGCCGCCTCTGTGCTTTTCCAGGAGGAGCTACAACGCGCGAAAGAGGAGTTAGCCACGCTCAAGGAGAGTTCGCGGCTCGGTGAAGAAAACATCCGGCTGTGCAACGATATCATCTCGAGAAGCGAGGTATGCCTATCATATTGGAAACAGGCGTTCTCGAGCATTGAGCGACATAATATGAGCAGAATGCATCGGCTACGGCTTCTGAAACGGCTTTAGTGAGTGATTCGTGCGCCATCTCAAAACTTCTGACGTTGTTAATACTGGACAGATCGCTGCACTGCGTAGTGTTCTTGGACCTTCTGCCTTGAGTTCGACTCCATTTTCGTACCCGGAGCATCAGGGTCTGTCGACGGAACCTCATATACCCTATGACGAGCTCTTGGAATTGCACGTACGTAGAAACGGCCATACATACGAGATCAACGCTGACAGAGACGGCCAGGTCGGGAATCAGAAGTCTCTGGATTCGTTGATTTCGCTGAATGGTACACTGCAAGAAGAGCGTAGGAAGCACATACGTGATATCGAGCTCCTTCGTGCGAAGCTAGAAGTCCGTACATCGAAGTCGACAGAGGACAAGTCAATCCAGTGCTTCCATAGGGAGATATCAAAGCCGGGAAGCTCGTCCCCACGCACCCCGGTTAGTCGGACGATACATGCTACGTCAACATCTGACCTTTTCTCAGCCTCAAATTCCTCTAACTGTTCATCATCGCGCGGTTCTAACACTGAACAAGGAAATCGAGGGCTTGAAACGAGAGAGGGACCGCGCCCAGTCGAAATCCGATGCGACTGTGAAAGACTTCAAGGTAGGAAGATACTGACACCGGCCTTCGCTGATCTATTCTCTTTCTAGATATACAAAGCCGGGGTCGTACAGCAAAACCGCGAGCGAAACAAGGCTTCGCAAAGTTTCTTAGTAAGCGCGCAGCTCAAGGTTGCGCATTCTGTTGACGCACCCTGTTGTAGACTGATCTGCGCCGCAAAATCATGTCGGTGCTACATGTCGGACACATTCCGCATCATATTGCGATATCACCAATACAAGTACGTTGGTTTATAACGAGTCATCATTGACGTTGACATGGCAACAGACGGGGGACGTTGAGGATATGAAGGTCGGTCTCGCATCCGGCGTGCGTCTTTGAAACTAATTGACTGCAGTCGAATATACATGGCATGCTGATGTGCATGTTCAAACACTTCGATCTGCAGAAGAGGGGAAACTCCCAACGGCCAATATGCCACACTGACGAGGTACGTCAATGACTTCCGGCCAACTCTTCGTGGACCGACCGGACTCCAGTTGCCTGAGCATTTCGCGAACTTGCAAATCGCTGAGGATGCCGAGATGATCGTGGACGAAGTCATGGCTCGGGACAAGCTAGTATGGATTACATGCGGTGAACACACGCTAGGCACTCAGACAAACCCGCAGGACTTAACGCCGTCCGCGGCGACCGCCGCGAACCCTCAGGCACCTCCTTCAAATTTGCTGACGGTACAGACACACCTAATCCCGTCGGCCGTGATCGCAACTCATAACAGGCCACATAGGTCCGCGCGTTGGACGCAGCCATGGAGGGAGTTATTCGGGATTTGGAACATGGTCAGGCGTCGGAGGGGAATGAGAATGGCATAGACTCTCCTCAGGTTCTCAACAAAGCGAGTGGGGTCAATTGAGTGTTTCATCAACTAACTCAGGGTTCAACAGCTCGACGAGGACGTAGTCACTCTCCTACATGACCCAGTACCAATGCAGGAAGGGAATATCGTGAGTTTATATACCAGCAGCGCGGATACAAGCCAAACGAGTAACCAGATTCTCGGTATGACATCGCTTAAAGGGCAAGAGGTGAGGCAAGCTACATCACGCGTACAGTGATCGTCAAGCCGCTAACAAGAAGAATAGCAAGTGGGCGGCGCCGAGGTGGTTCGGGAATGGGAAGCTTTGCGGGAGACAGCTGGCAAGGTGGGCTTTAAGCGCAACAAATGCGGCCCGAGTGACATGTATTTGGTAGGAGCTCGAACGCGTCAACCAGGAAATCCTCAACGCACAAAAGGTAGTAATGTCTTGGTTGATTGTGACCTGCGTACCGGCTCACAAAGTGGATGCAGGCGAAGGACGAGGCGAACGCAACCGCCGCAGCGGTGAGGAAGCAGGAGCTCTCGCTACAGCCATTTTGCTGACTGCGTGACAGAGCATCCGCGTGGCCACCGCGCAAGTGGAGGAAGCGCAGAGGGTACGCGCCTGAGCGATGGTGCAGACAGAGAGCTTACGATATGGACAGCGGCTTCGCGAGGTCGAGGAGGAGATTGAGAACCGGGCGGCTTCGGTGGAAAACGCCAACCGGGTGAGCCGTGATGGCTATGCATTTGACGCTGACTGATGTGCATTCCATAGGAGCTGGAGCGCGTCCACAAGGACATGCAGAAGGTATAGTTATTTCAGGTCTAGTCTGATGCGCTCGCGACCGAATCCATTCAATGCAGGCCAAGGACGAGGCCGATGCTTCCGCCGCAGCGGTAAGAGATCGGGCTCTCGCTGCCGCAGCTCGGTCGCTGACAGAGGGACAGAGCTCCCGCGAGGCCACGGCGCAGGAGGAGGATGCCAGGAGGGTACGCGCCCGGGCGATGGTGCAGACAGAGAGCTTACGATATGGACAGCGGCTTCGCGAGGTCGAGGAGGAGATTGAGGACCGGGCGGCTTCGCTTGAAGACGCCAACCGGGTGAGCCGTGGTGACTATGACTACCCGTTCGCTGATGAGCATCCTGTAGGAGTTGAATCGCGTCCGCCAGGACATTCTCGATGCGCAGAAGGTACGCTGAGCAGAGTCAAATTCGGCGAGCGCACCTAGTGACGAACTCGACTCAGGCTCAGGAAGAGGCTCAGGCGTCCAGCGGAGCCGCCCAGGCGGTGAGATCCCGGACCCTCGATGCATGAGTGACGGGTCGCTGACAGTGAGACAGAGCTCCCGCGAGGCCACGGCGCAGGTGCAGGATGCGAGGAGGGTACGCGCCCGGGCGATGGTGCAGACAGAGAGCTTACGATATGGACAGCGGCTTCGCGAGGTCGAGGAAGAGATTGAGAACCGGGCGGCTTCGGTGGAAAACGCCAACCGGGTGAGCCGTGATGGCTATGCATTTGACGCTGACTGATGTGCATTCCATAGGAGCTGGAGCGCGTCCACAAGGACATGCAGAAGGTATAGTTATTTCAGGTCTAGTCTGATGCGCTCGCGACCGAATCCATTCAATGCAGGCCAAGGACGAGGCCGATGCTTCCGCCGCAGCGGTAAGAGATCGGGCTCTCGCTGCCGCAGCTCGGTCGCTGACAGAGGGACAGAGCTCCCGCGAGGCCACGGCGCAGGAGGAGGATGCCAGGAGGGTACGCGCCCGGGCGATGGTGCAGACAGAGAGCTTACGATATGGACAGCGGCTTCGCGAGGTCGAGGAGGAGATTGAGGACCGGGCGGCTTCGCTGGAAGACGCCAACCGGGTGAGCCGTGATGACTATGACTACCCGTTCGCTGATGAGCATCCTGTAGGAGTTGAATCGCGTCCGCCAGGACATTCTCGATGCGCAGAAGGTACACTGAGCAGAGTCAAATTCGGCGAGCGCACCTAGTGACGAACTCGACTCAGGCTCAGGAAGAGGCTCAGGCGTCCAGCGGAGCCGCCCAGGCGGTGAGATCCCGGACCCTCGATGCATGAGTGACGGGTCGCTGACAGTGAGACAGAGCTCCCGCGAGGCCACGGCGCAGGAGGAGGATGCCAGGAGGGTACGCGCCCGGGCGATGGTGCAGACAGAGAGCTTACGATATGGACAGCGGCTTCGCGAGGTCGAGGAGGAGATTGAGGACCGGGCGGCTTCGCTTGAAGACGCCAACCGGGTGAGCCGTGATGACTATGACTACCCGTTCGCTGATGAGCGTCCTGTAGGAGTTGAATCGCGTCCGCCAGGACATTCTCGATGCGCAGAAGGTACGCTGAGCAGAGTCAAATTCGGCGAGCGCACCTAGTGACGAACTCGACTCAGGCTCAGGAAGAGGCTCAGGCGTCCAGCGGAGCCGCCCAGGCGGTGAGATCCCGGACCCTCGATGCATGAGTGACGGGTCGCTGACAGTGAGACAGAGCTCCCGCGAGGCCACGGCGCAGGAGGAGGATGCCAGGAGGGTACGCGCCCGGGCGATGGTGCAGACAGAGAGCTTACGATATGGACAGCGGCTTCGCGAGGTCGAGGAGGAGATTGAGGACCGGGCGGCTTCGCTTGAAGACGCCAACCGGGTGAGCCGTGGTGACTATGCATTTGACGCTGGCTGATGTGCATTCCATAGGAGCTGGAGCGCGTCCACAAGGACATGCAGAAGGTATAGTTATTTCAGGTCCAGTCTGATGCGCTCGCGACCGAATCCATTCAATGCAGGCCAAGGACGAGGCCGATGCTTCCGCCGCAGCGGTAAGAGATCGGGCTCTCGCTGCCGCAGCTCGGTCGCTGACAGAGGGACAGAGCTCCCGCGAGGCCACGGCGCAGGAGGAGGATGCCAGGAGGGTACGCGCCCGGGCGATGGTGCAGACAGAGAGCTTACGATATGGACAGCGGCTTCGCGAGGTCGAGGAGGAGATTGAGGACCGGGCGGCTTCGCTGGAAGACGCCAACCGGGTGAGCCGTGATGACTATGACTACCCGTTCGCTGATGAGCATCCTGTAGGAGTTGAATCGCGTCCGCCAGGACATTCTCGATGCGCAGAAGGTACGCTGAGCAGAGTCAAATTCGGCGAGCGCACCTAGTGACGAACTCGACTCAGGCTCAGGAAGAGGCTCAGGCGTCCAGCGGAGCCGCCCAGGCGGTGAGATCCCGGACCCTCGATGCATGAGTGACGGGTCGCTGACAGTGAGACAGAGCTCCCGCGAGGCCACGGCGCAGGAGGAGGATGCGAGGAGGGTACGCGCCCGGGCAATGGTGCAGACGGAGAGCTTACGATATGGACAGCGGCTTCGCGAGGTCGAGGAGGAGATTGAGGACCGGGCGGCTTCGCTGGAAGACGCCAACCGGGTGAGCCGTGATGACTATGACTACCCGTTCGCTGATGAGCATCCTGTAGGAGTTGAATCGCGTCCGCCAGGACATTCTCGATGCGCAGAAGGTACGCTGAGCAGAGTCAAATTCGGCGAGCGCACCTAGTGACGAACTCGACTCAGGCTCAGGAAGAGGCTCAGGCGTCCAGCGGAGCCGCCCAGGCGGTGAGATCCCGGACCCTCGATGCATGAGTGACGGGTCGCTGACAGTGAGACAGAGCTCCCGCGAGGCCACGGCGCAGGTGCAGGATGCGAGGAGGGTACGCGCCCGGGCGATGGTGCAGACAGAGAGCTTACGATATGGACAGCAGCTTTGCGAGGTCGAGGAGGAGATTGAGGACCGGGCGGCTTCGCTTGAAGACGCCAACCGGGTGAGCCGTGGTGACTATGCATTTGACGCTGGCTGATGTGCATTCCATAGGAGCTGGAGCGCGTCCACAAGGACATGCAGAAGGTATAGTTATTTCAGGTCCAGTCTGATGCGCTCGCGACCGAATCCATTCAATGCAGGCCAAGGACGAGGCCGATGCTTCCGCCGCAGCGGTAAGAGATCGGGCTCTCGCTGCCGCAGCTCGGTCGCTGACAGAGGGACAGAGCTCCCGCGAGGCCACGGCGCAGGAGGAGGATGCCAGGAGGGTACGCGCCCGGGCGATGGTGCAGACAGAGAGCTTACGATATGGACAGCGGCTTCGCGAGGTCGAGGAGGAGATTGAGGACCGGGCGGCTTCGCTTGAAGACGCCAACCGGGTGAGCCGTGGTGACTATGACTACCCGTTCGCTGATGAGCATCCTGTAGGAGTTGAATCGCGTCCGCCAGGACATTCTCGATGCGCAGAAGGTACGCTGAGCAGAGTCAAATTCGGCGAGCGCACCTAGTGACGAACTCGACTCAGGCTCAGGAAGAGGCTCAGGCATCCAGCGGAGCCGCCCAGGCGGTGAGATCCCGGACCCTCGATGCATGAGTGACGGGTCGCTGACAGTGAGACAGAGCTCCCGCGAGGCCACGGCGCAGGAGCAGGATGCGAGGAGGGTACGCGCCCGGGCGATGGTGCAGACGGAGAGCTTACGATATGGACAGCGGCTTCGCGAGGTCGAGGAAGAGATTGAGAACCGCGTGGCCTCGCGGGAGACTCCCAACAAGGTGGGCTGGCCCGCTCGCCGACTTCGCCTTACTTGACATGTGTTTTTAGGACTGCATGCGCATTCATGAGGCTAAGGCATGGCCCTCCTTGATCGATTGCGACGTGCGCACCTTTTCACGCATTATATCCAGGTCAAGGAAGAGCAGGCGTACGCTATCGCGGAGTTAGATGCAACCCCTCGATGCACCGACAAGGATATCCAAACCCAAAGGCCGTTGTCGGAGGTCGCTGGCGAGGTGAATTGACCTGCTTGCGGCTCTCGTGTGGCTGATCAGCGATGCCAGCAGTACAAGCGGCTCAATCTGTTACCTGTAAATGCGCTGGAGGTCTGTAATGCACTGCTGATTCTCGATTCCGTGTACTCATTACTCCAACGGCTTCATCAGCAAGCCAGGGGCTGTCCTCAGATGCGTCGTTCATCTCTCAAGAACGACGAACAGGTAGCGGCGATGCTGTTGGCTGTTTTCCTGGGTGCATGTTTACAAGTTCATCAGACCCTTCCAGAGCGCGGTTCGCACCTCAGCCCCGCGGAAGTGGTAGGTTATCAATTGTGCTATGATCATGGATCATGACTATTACAGGAAATTGAGAAGATTCGTGCGAAGATTCTTGCTGCGCAGACGGTGGGTCGTCTATCATTCGTGCAGCGAAGGTGTTGACGCTGGCCCTAGGATCTACTTTCACTCCCTTCCCGTGATGTGACCAGTGTTCCTACTTTGACCGGATTTCAGGTGACATGATACCCATCTATACTCCTCATTCATTCACGCGCAGCAGGACCTCGATCGTGTCAGCACCGTCAATGCACCAGCGCGAGAGCAAGGAAGTGCGTCAATGGCCAGGCGGATCAAGCATTCAGGCTCCATCGACGATATTCTGGATGTACGTCGTCGTTTGTCCTCATTGGTTCCGCGTATAGACTGATCCTGAACAGGGATTCGATGGAATTCGGATCAAAGGCGAGGTCAGTCGTTCTTGCGGCTCGTACCATCAGTCATCGACTAATCATGCCCAGAGTGCTGTAATGAGTCATCTTGCTTGCACATGGCTATCATTCTGAGCGTCTCCGTCCAGGACGAAAGATTGGGGACAGCGCCCACCGCAGAGAACCTATCTGTCAGGCGTCTTCTTTTCCGATTTGTCTCCCTGTCTGATTTGGCCTTCAGTTCCATCGCGGGCCGACCTTGCAGCCTGCGAAAAGTGATGTTAGAGATGATGGCCCTGCACCTTGGGGTCATTTCACGCCCACGCACGAAGCCAAGCGACCATCCACGTCTTGCCAGCCGATCAACGAGCCCCCTGTTGGGCAAGGCACGTTGCCTGTGAACCGTCGTTCCCAATTGTCCCACATGTCGCAGAGTTCTGTGTCCTCGGCCCGCACCAAAACTACTCGAGATCGCGGCGTCGTCTCGGGCGTTAGAAATGCGCCCAAAGTTAGTCATGTCGTGGATCGGAGTCTGCCCCACTTACATCTGCTTTCGATCTGCCAGAGCGTTGTACCCAAGGTCAAGCGTTCGACGTGTGTCGAAGCAAGCTCCGTCGGAGGCTGCCGTAGCGATAAAGTAAGTGGCGGCTATTCTCCTTCTGCCTATTCGACCGAGTCTGTCCCTAATGACATAACACAGAAGTCGGACAAGAATTTTGCGGCATGTCAACTTTGAATTGCATTGAAAGTGTATTGACGAGCATATAGGAGGGAGCTGCCATGTCCTCCACAGCTCGCGGGACGGCCGTTGTACAACAATCGAGCAACTTGACCGAAGCTTTCATACGCAAGAAAGCCTTGAAAGACGCGAAGGTCATCACGCAAATGCAAGCAGCCAGAGCCGCTCGACCAGCCGTGAGTGGCAATATGCGATTTCAGTCAATCGCATCGTATACTAATGGCTGCCCCAGCACACGCAACGCTGAAGGTTGGTTCGTAATGTGACAAGCCTCGCGCTGCCTTGTTGATATCTCAGCACTTACGTCGCGCGTTATGTAGCCCGCCGGTCCGAACGTTTTCTGCTGTTCTTCAGATCAATATATACGGTCCATGCCGCGATACACTATAGAACGACATCTAAGTCCAGCTATCGTAAGCGTCATCGACAGCTATCGTTAGAAGCTGTGTCTGAGGAGCCGCGAATGGCAAGACACCGACGGGAAGTTGAACGCTCAGTCTGTCGTTCGATCTGATTCAGCGGTCGTTTTCCACCATAAATCCCCGTGTTGCAGACGATTTGACTATCAAGTACGCATACTGCGACTTAGAAATGGCGTATATGCCCAGGGCTGCTACTACACTCCGCCTTTCCACGAGATGGTGCCGCATCAGTCATGCGCGCGGGACCGAGGGGTAAACGGCCACGTGATCTGTTCAACTCTTCGCGCCGAACTGTCATGATAACAAAACCGGTTATATGGAGAGATGCGTCTGCCTGAGTCGAACGTGGATGAATTCATGGAAGCGCTGGCAGGTTGGTCGGCCAAGTTAGAATAGACGACCACACACGGACTCAAAGGGCGCTATTTACGCCGCCAGCTCTTCAACCACCCGGGCGCTCTTCACTATGACCTGGTGCATACTGAATAGGTTGAGTAAGCCCTTCCAGCTTATACGCCGAACTTTTCATTTCTGCGTGACCAAGCATAGATCCCCTACCCGCACTATCTCAGCAGTAGCAAGGAGCGCGCACGGGATTCGAAATTCCTGAAGTACTCGCTGATGCAATCTCACACAAGGTCCTAGCAGTCTGACGCGGCCGAAGGGATATAATCTGGTGCTTGGCTTCATATGATGGATGTAATTCGGCAGCTTGATAATAGTGGCCGAATTACCCTTACCCCGCAACGCAGAGCAGCCCTCGGTCCTATACGTCAGAAGTTCGGATTTTCTTCCTTCCCGTGCATCCTTCCGATGGAATCCAGACGCATACGTCGTCAACAGATATTCAATGCGAGTTTCTTTCATATTTCACCGTCGATATGCGTATGGAAAACTACTGTCCGTGAAAGCGAGCTCGACAAGTTCAAGGTCGAAAGTCATTTTCCCACTAATCCTCGGCTCTATTCCTCTTCCTTGGACGTCGGTCTGCGTTGCCACCCTCTGCAGGGCCTTCTAAATTCCGTAAGAGGCCCGGCAACGAAGATTGTCCTGTACGAATATCAGTACGTGCCAGGCTCGTCGAGTGGCTAACTCAACGTACTCGTTGCCATGCCGGCAGAACGCGTTCGTGTAGCACTAGTTGCCTGCGAAGGATCAACAGGAGGCTCAGGACATTCATGAGATCGCAAAATTACCTCTGTGTCATTGTTTGAGGCATCGGCAAAGCGGGAAGCCCGCCGAGTCGCAACGCCTGTTCGCTTGCGCGAGCGCCTTTTGCTCCCATCCGATGTAGCTGCATCTCGATCGGCTTGCAGGAGAACCGGATCATTGTCGAGTGGTGTCCATCCAAGCAGTGGTTCTACGCAACGGCGAAGGTCAACCTGAGGACCAGGAATTTGCCACCGACTATGATCGTCGGAGTCCTGAAAAAGGTACGACTCTCGGATGGGTTGGATATCGGGAAGTTGGGGTATAGCTGCTTGATCTGCGACCAGGCCCTCGGTAAGCTCAGGTGGCACGAGCTCCTTCAAAACGGTAATGCAAACAAGTTGAGCGAGACGGTCGACATTGCCGCAAACCCATCTTCCCCCATCATTCCGCAGCCGTCGCAAGAACTTCTGGGCAGGCTCGTCGTTGCGTTTCCCGACCCGATCCTCGATGCTGTCAGCATGAATATACTTGCGGGGCCATAGGACCATGAGGCACAGCGCAATCAAGGGCTTGCGAAAGAACACTGGACGAGATTATATCAGACTCTGCAGCAGCGATGGGAAGTATGACTGACCACAACCCTCTTTGACTCGTGCCGGGAGGGAAGCTGCCATGAAAATGAGCATGAGCTGAGCATAGGCGTGATCGTGGTTCGTAGCCGTGCGGCTAGTATGCTTCTCAAAGGCTCGGCAAAGCTCCATGTGGTGAAGCGAATCCCAGTTCACGTAGTGCTTTCCAGCGGTGACGGTATGCAGGGGTGTATAGACGGTATGGCCCTTGCCCGGTGGCTGGATTCTGTGATAAGTTAGTCAGCTTCTGAGACGTAAGACAGCATGACATACGGACATTCTATCGCCTTCTTGAACTACGATAATGCAACCTCGTATCTTGCGATCACCATCCACGGAAAAGTCTTCCCGGCCCGCACCATCGTCTGTTTGCTGAGGCCTATGTGCACGCCTCGGGACACCAAGGACAACGCTCTTTTGCCCTTGTATCAACATGGCTCGAGTCGCGTTCGAAGGCGGGCAGTATTCCGTGGCTAGCCATAGTTTGGCTCCCGGGCCTCGGACTTCGAAGGTTGTCCCTAATCCCGATGCGTCGATATGACCGAACGTGACGAAACCGCCCTGATGGGCAAGATGCCAGTCGAAAGTACGGCCATGGTCTGCTGGACGAAATTCGTAATCGAGGTTGCCGATCGCATGGGACACGGTAAAGACTTCCAGATGTCCGTCGGACAGATAGCTGAAGAGAATAAGTATCGGTGCTTCGCTTCGCTGGCGGATGACATACGTGGTAATGGGATCATGCTGCAAGTATCCCCCAGGAATATCGAGAATGGCGCGGATGTGCTTGTCGCTGTTGATCTCTTCAATAAATTGTCGAAGTGGTCGCTCAACGTATGGCTCCGGTGGTCCCGCTGCTTCTCCCGTTTGCGAGCCCGTAGCCTCAGTATCGGATACCTCTTCGTCGACACTGTCGTCTGCAATGGCATCTGTAGGGTCTGGGTCTTCTTCGGGCGGCGGGTTGGCCTTCATGCGTAGTTCCATGTCTGCGAGGGGCGTGAATTTGCCTGTCGAGAGCCTACATATCGAAGAATGGCTCACCGTGTGCCTGACGATTCACGTCTAACGCAGCCCCAACGACCCCTTTTCCTAGTTCACTCGAGAAATATTGCAGATTCATCGTAGGATGCTCCGAACAGTCCGGAAGAGGTATGAACTTCTTTCCTGCACCTCGCACAACGACCCAATGTCCCTCCGCTTGCGCAGATACTATTTTCTCCATCACGAGGGCCGAGTTGCTAGGGTCCCAATCCAGAAAGACGACCATATCCGTGTCTTCCGCACGCGGAAAAGTCGCCATAGCCCTCACCATCGCCTCGTCCTAGTCACGTAAATTCGGATGCGAGAACCATACGGAAAGCAAGACGCACGAAGTCGAACTTAGTACCCGGAAGCACTGGTAGACGGGTGGTAACTCCGGCAGCCCAGTTGATGATGGGACTCGCCCAAAGATTCGTGGCATCTGACGCCAAGTCGAGATAAGTAGTCCTTTCAGATGGAGGTAGCATTTCAATGTCCTGGAGATCGCTCTTCGGAGTTGCCTGTCCGCGAGCCATACCCTCTGGCGAGACAGGTTGCACGTTGTCGTCAATGTGGTTCAGAGGCTCCTCCGGCGTCAGCTGATCCGGGACGGATTCGCCTACGGGGCCAGCACAGCGGTCTGTAGAGTATAGAGTGGAAGGGGCTCTGTCCAATGGGGGATCTGCGCTTCGTCGAGCTGCTAAACCAGTGAGTACGGCAAATGATATTAGAGAATAGGAGACGCACGTGGGCTGTGCGGGGTCATCCCTGAGCCCCCTTCACAGACCGCTGTAGGACCTTCAGGTGTGGCATTCTGTGAAGAGTTGTGTCCAAGAGATTCACTATTCTCGAGAGCGCCCGTCGATGAAGTTGGAACCGATTGAGCGGTACTGGCGCGCACTTGCAGACGAAGTGCCTCGATCAGGGACTCCAGTTCTCGTATTCGCTCCGCATCGCGGATGCCCGCGTCCTGCGCTTCCTTGAGCTGCGCGCTGAGCTTCTTATTGTCACGAACACGCTTGCTAGCAAAAATGGTGAATGAGGAACCACCTGCGCGAACATGGGCATTACTTGGACTGTCTTTTGGCTATTTCCTGCTTGCTTTGGTATGATGTGTCCTGAGGAGTTTGTGGCAGAGGATCATCGTTGTATACTGGAGGTTTGGCGACGACAAACCTGCAACGGCCGCCCATGATAAAACGAGGAAAGAATTCCTTACATGGTAATCGCCTTCGAGGATATCGCTTACGTAATATTCAAATCACGTGTGTGGATCAGGTAGCGCGGCGTTGTGGCCGGTACTTACTTCTATGTTCCCAATGTATGCGAATGGATAGTACCTATTGGTATGAAAGTGCTTCTTGCATTCATGGGCTTCGCGGTTATACAGAATACTCCTTAGGCACCTAGGTTTTGTCGACTTAGCTGTATTAATTCGAGTATTTCCTGGGGCTTCGGCGGCTTGTTCTTAGAGCTTAGGAATGTCTAACAGAAGGTTCTGTGTCCTTTGCTGCGTAGGTAAATCTGGTAGACAGGTCTAAGTCAGAACTTGTAAAACAGATCCTTCTAGTCACTTTTGCCAGTAGATAATTCTGATAATTAAAGAGTCTTGAGCATGTTCTAAGTCTAGAACTTTGAGAGTCAAGGTAGCTGGCTGGTATTACTGACCAGTGCTGCATCTTACAAAGCATTTTATGCTGCTCTTGTTCAGTACAGTGCAGTAAATGTCAGCTTACCAGACAATTCAGCCATATAGACAGTGATTTCGAGACAACCATGGTGTGTGAAGAAATTGCGACTATAATACAATACAGGTGTACGCGACTGGGATCAAGAATGGATATACAAAAAAAAAGGCCACGGCGGCAGCGGGGAGTTCACCTACTTGCGTCCGTCCTTTCCCTTCGATGCGCGCCTCGCCTTCAACCGCTCAAGGGCGGCCGCACGCGAAGTACCCTCATCCTCGTCGGCCTGCTCGTCCTGCTCCTCAGGATCACCGCCCTCGTCGTCGTCGTTGTTGCTCAACTCGGCATTGTGGCGCGGCACGCAACCAAGGGAAGCTTCAAAAGCATCCCACGGAGCCCAGAGACGGAGCAACGAGTTTGGGCCGGGGCGGTTGATGTCGGTCGACGTGACATGGGGGGCGTTGTCGGCGCCGTCGCCTCCGTCAGATTCATCCTCGCGCACCAAGCCGTCGTCGCGCTCGCCCTTCCAGTATGCCTGCCATTTGATGCGCGAGTCCTCGCCGTTGTTGCGGTCCTGCTGGTAGCGAAGGGACTGGCCCCATCGAATGAAAGTCGTAGGCCGAGGATTCGCCACGCGCGCTGAGGGAGGGGGCCGAGGAGACTGGACGATGGGGTTGTTCTCGAGCATGAAGTGTGGCAAAACAGCATACTCGCGGGGAAGGGGGACGAGGGCGGGTACGCCAGACCCGAGGAGCCAGCCGAGCGCCGCCTCGTTTGTCAGCCCACGCCGGTTGCTCTCAGCCTCGGCGCGCCTGCGATAGTTGACCATCGCGGTGACGACGCTGCTCCACGTACGCCCTCTGGGCTTCCGCTTCATGCCCTCCATCGGCATGTTGTTGCGAAGGACTTCCGGCCAGTTGACCAGGCAGATGCCTAAGCGATACGCGATGTCCGGCCACGAGTTTCGAGGGAATTGTCGGGGCTCAACGGCGGTATGCCGGGAGGACAGGCGCTGGTTGGCCATGTAGTAGATCGCACCTAGCGTAGCAAGAAGTCAGTATAATAGGCAAATGAATGCAAAGGAGGACAACTTACCCAGATCCCATCGCAAAAGCTCGTACAGTATACGAAGGTACTCATCGCTCTTGTTCTGGTTGGGGTCCAGGTCCCAGTTGCGTTCGGGAAACCAGCCCAGCTCGTGCTCCGAAGGAGGGCCCGCATCGACCTCCCCGTCCTCTCGCAGGCCGCGAAGCCTCAAGTCGCATGCACTGCAAGTCATTAGAACCACAAGCGAGGGTGGGGAAAGGCCAGCACATACCGAAGTAGGGTCGACATCTGATTCAGACCCTCAGAGAAGTTGCCTGAGTAGCGACGCAGGAGCTCTTGATAGACGGCGCCGCCACCAAACATTGCCGAATTAGCCTTCGCGTGGAGGTCGACGATGTACCCTACGACTGCCACGCCGTTGTTGAGGTTCGCAGCCAGTGCAAGTCTGGAGAACTGTTGGGCGAGGCTGTCGATCTGCCGCTGCCGCTGCCTCGTCGTCGCGTTTTGAATGATGTGCTCGTCGAGCTGCACACAGAAGTCGTACTCCTTCTTGAAGTGGCGCATGGCGTCCTCGTGAGAAGGGTTGCTACCGAGCGCTGCAACCTTCTCGCGGTAGGCGGCTTCCATCTGGGCTCTGCGTTCATCGGCGGACACTGAAAGGGAGGTGAGTCAGAGGCGGTCATTACAATCAAGGAAAGGCAAGACTTCACATACCAGATGGATCAGGAGGATTGGTGGCGGCCCAGTATCTTCGAAATACATTAGCGCGCTGCCATCGTCGCGCATGCGCGCTGTCGGAGTGCATCCAACCAGCAATGCGGAAGACCAGCTCGGGGGGCTTGTTCGTCTCCTGCGCGATGGAGAGGAGCCCTAGCGTATACTCGATGCCAAGCTCCTCGGCTCGACGCCGGGCATCGTCGGGGAGGCGACCCGCGGAGTATGAGTGAGCTGAGCCCGGCTCTTCGCAAAGAACATTCTCCGCGTTCTCCTCCCTTACGCGTCGCACACGTTCGCGCCGAGTCTCGCGCGGCGCAGATGTGCCGGGCGCATCGCGACGGGTTGAAGGGCCGGGGGCGGTCGGGTCGGTGTCCTCAAACGAAATGAGGTCATCCAGATCTGGAAGCGGGGCGTCGTCGTCGAGGTAGTCGCCAGGCGCAAAAAGGCCGGGCATGTCGAGCGGCATTTCGGGAACTGGCTCATCCACATCCTCGACAGGCAGCGCCCTCCCTTTCCCTTTGTCGCGCTTTGGGTTGGGGTTCCCGCCATTGTCGTCGGCGCCAGAGTCGGGCGGCGGGGCCTTCTCCTTCCCTTTTCCCTTGTGTGGCTTCGGCGGCGCCTTCTTGCCATTGCTGGCGTCGCCGCCGTCCTCGGGAGGGGGCGCCTTGCCCTTGCCCTTCAGATCCTGCCGAGCGCCGCGCGAAGGGTGGCCAGCATCATCCCCAGGCGCCCCGGGTCCGCGCGCACGCGACGGTCCAGCCTCGGCATGGGAGGAAGCTTGCCGCTCAGCGGGTGATGGGCGTGCAAGTGGTGGGCGGCTGCTGCCAGAAGGCCGCGAGGCTGCGGCCCTCTCTCCACTCCCACCTCCATCCTCCTGCGCTTTCGCCTTCGCTTTGCCCTTCCCCTTCCCACCCCCCTCCCCGTCCCCCTTCCCCCTCCCCTTCCCCTTCCCCTTCCCCTTCCCCTTCCCATCTGAGCCCGTGTGCTCGCCATCGACCTCCATGGCTTCCCCGCCCATCTCGCTCGTGAACGCGGGTAAGGGGTCGATGGCGGGGCGACGCCTCTTCGTCGACGGGCGAGGTGTCGACGGAGACTCCACGACGGGGCGGAGCCGCTTTTTCTGCTTCGGCTTGGGCGTCGGGGTGATGTAGCCGTCGTCGTCGTCGTCCTCGTCCTCGTCGGGCTCAGCGCCCGATGCATTGGGCGGCTCGAAGTCCGATTGCGACTCCTCGGACGTCGACCCGGGCGGACTGGAGGGTGGGAGCCGGGACGTCCTCACTCCTTGAGCTCTGCGAGGCGCAAGCTGCGGCGCTGCCGTAGACGCCGGCATATCCCTGTACTCCATGGCTTGAACGCCTGTGCTCGATGCAGCCGACGCCCGGCTAACATATGCCGAGCGTCGGGCCAAAGGCCCTCTAACATATGGGGACCCTTGGCCAGGCGTTGGAGATGGGGAGCGACCGCCGCGGACGATCTCGGCATAGGAAGGGGAGTCGGGGCGATGCCCGCGCGTACGTTCCTGCTGAAGCACCTGGGTAAGCAGAGATTTACACCCTACTAAGGGTGGACATACCTGCCCCTGCGATGCCCGGGCATTGCGCTCGACTTCCTCGGCGACGCCGGCCTCGTCAACATCCATCTCCTGGTCCCCCGCCTCCTCCTGCAGACGTACGTTAGCACCCGGGACGCAAAAAAAGGCGCAAAAACATACCGAGGCCCCTCCAGCGCCAACCCCATCAACGTCCATCCCGTGGTCTTCCTCCGCGTCCTGCGTAGGTAAGTCAGCCGTCGGAGCGTAGGTATGATATAGAAGGACGCAAGGAAACCCACCGAGGCCTTCCGAGCGGTCGCCTTCTTTTTGTTCTGGCCGCGCGAGGCGGCGGATGGAGCCTTCGAGGTAGTGCGCGCCTCCAACTTCTTCGAGCCGCCTTTGGCGGAAAAGACTTCCGCGCGCCTTCCGTTGAGCTGAAATAATGTAAGTACGCCTCGCCGGCTGCGAAAATGGATGCACTCACTCTCCCGGAGCGGCGGGGCTGCTCCTGCTCATCTGCAGATGCTTGCGCGCCATCATCTACCTCGCCTGCAGCCTCGACGCCGCCGAGGCGGGCGCTGCGACGGGGAGGAGGGGTGGCGGGTGTCGGGTCCACGTCAACATCCATAGGTTCTGGCTCAGGAGCTGGGCCGTTGCGTCCATCGTCCTGGTCGGAGCCTGCGTTTGCCGGCGTACGAGGGCGAGCGCCAGGCGCGCGTGTCGTGCGAGACGCGTTGGGCGCCTTCTTCGAGGGCTGCTTGTTGTTGCGCTTTCCGACCATTGGGCGAGAGGAGTTCTGGGCGAAAGTTCGGGGCGGTGGCGATGGTAGAGGGAGGAAAGACCTAAGTTCTGGCATCTCCGTAAGTTTCCGGAGGGTTGAGAGGGAGCGAACCGGCTCACCGTGGCTCGCAAAAACAGCCCCCTGAAAGCCGAACACGATCTCGAGCTGAGAGTGCCCTGTAGTTGGCTATTTGCATGGGGGCGGGCGCTCTCGTGTCCCCTAATGGGGAAATCTGCGGGCGGGTATCTCATGCGACTTTTCCGGGGCGATAATACTACCGCGTTTGGTAATTATGTGATGGAAACCGGTAACAAATTTATCGACGTTCGGTACAGAAGTGGCGGTCCGCGCGCAGTATGCGGAACGGCTCCATCAGGAGGCATTTCGAGCAGTAAAGCCGAAAGACGACACAGTACACGTTTTCTGCTGGCACAGGGATGGGGTCTTTCCAGGATGCCTCCAGCATACTGGCGGGGTTGACGGTAGAGCTGCGCATAATGACAGTGTTCTTGTTCCACCGCACCCCGCGCGCCTTGAGAAACTTCCGAGCAGGCCAGAGCTCGAGCCACCCGCCCTCAAGGATGGGAAAGTAAAAGGCGAGGGGCTCCTCGCTGAACTACGTCGCCGCTGAGTTCCACGGCCATCGAAGGGGTGAGAGCGGATGCGCACCTTGTTATAGAAGAAGCAGATGGTTGTTTCTCCTAGAGGGCGATGCGTGAGGGTGATGGCTGGGGGATGCCACACCTTGGCATGAAGCTCCAGGTGTATTTCCCTCTTGAAGGGCGGCTGGGGCACCGGCAGCGCTTCATACCAACTTATGCGAAGGAGCGCGCCGTTAGGCAAGCGGGCGTAGATGGCGATCACGTTGGGGTCGACGGCCTTGGCGACTAGGCGGCGCATGATGTTGCCGGGGATGAAGAGGTCCGAGAAGGTTTTTGCCCGTAGCGTAAGGGTCTGGGGCTTTGTAAAGTCAGTCAAAAGAGGCCAGGAGGAAGGGCGTCCGCGGCGTACCTTGGCGAGATCCGCGCAGACGTGGAAGTATACCATGGTGAGACCTTCATCCGGTATTCCTGACTGCCCGGCAGCCTCTTCCTTCGCCCAAGCGTCCGTGGGGGGCCCGTCGAGGGTGTTCTTGGCCTTGTGTTCCTGCCAGAGCGTGCGGTACGCCCGGCCGAACTTCCAGTGGACGAAGAAGGCGCCTGCGGGGGCTTCCCATTGACCCTCGCGGGTGGTCGACGCTAGATACTTAACGTCGCGCTTCACTCGCTCAAAGAAGTCGGTGGTCGTGCCTGCACGTCGTCAAATGTATTCAAGAGCGGGGGCGACCATCTTTACGCACGCGTTGAGTCTCTCATGTACCCGCCATCCCACAGGGAGTGCAGGAGAAGGCCGACGTTGATGTACGACGTGCGCCCTATCTCGTCGCGGATGCGACCCTCCAAGTCGGCGTAGCGGTAGGTGGAAGGCTTGAGGTTCGACCGAGGGGGCGGCACAGTGACTACGTCCATGGTGGGCGAGTTTAGCCGTGGCGGGAGATGCGCCGCTTGGGGCCTGCACTTTCAATTAGCGGAGTTCGCCGAAATCCTGCGATTTGGAGGCGCACCACATGGAAACCCCCATTAGGAAACCTTTGTGGCAGCGCGTGCCTCTCCCCTCACAGCGAATTTGCACAAGTCCAAGTTTTGTAACAGTCTATCTACGCCCGGTCCCTATGCCGTTGCCTTTGCGACCTGCGCTTTCCTCCTCAGCTCCGGCAGCCGCGAAAACATCGCCACCCCTTTTTTCCAGCGCCCCGCATCTTCAGCCGCGGCCTCCCTGCGCTCTGAGGCGCTCATCCCGGCGTAATACTCTTCGTTCAGCTTGAAACCATGCTCTACAAATCGGAAGAGGCCGCCCGCTGTATATTGCGTAACGGAGTATCGGGTTTCGCCCTCCAGAATATCGATGTTGTAGTGCGTGATGAGCGCGGAGGGTATGAGGATGGTCGAGCCCGGGGGGAACCTAATCACGAGCTTGAGTTCGCGCAGGACGATGTGCCCCCCTTTGTCAGGGTTGAAGCGGCCCAGAGCGGTGATGGCGCAGAAGCCGTAGGCGAGATTGCCGAAGTCGCGGTGGGGGTAGCAAAGGGTGCGCGGGCCAAAGTTGATGGTGACGCACATCCATACGCTCTTCTTGAAGTGCAGGCGACGGCGCAGGCGAGGCTTCCACCCCAGAAGCTTCTGCTGCAGGTCCGCGTAGTGGGAATGTATTTTGGGCTCCCAGCCGCCAAAGCCGCCTGGGCAAATGGTAAGTTTACGACGCGGCATTGATGGGTGAGGGGCGGCGTACTAGAGGCGAAGTGTGCGATGCGTTGCATGGGCTTGAGCTGGGTGAGGCGATCCAGCTCCCTCCTGTTGTTATCCGAGTGCTTGAGCGCCCGAGGTTCCTGTGAGTAGGTCAGAAGGGGACGCCTGGTTGAGATGGACCACGCACCGTCTGCCCTCCCCCCATCGAGGAGCCGTGGGCTTTGACGCTAAAGCAACCCCGGCGATGCACGCGCTCATCCGCGGAAAACGTCATGCACCCCCGCGATCCCTCAATCTCATCCGCGAGCTGTACATGGTCGCGCGCCCACTTCTCTCCCTTGGGGCAGCCAAGCAGGGCCGCAATCACGATCTCCTCCTCCCCTGCGACAAAGGCCGTCGGTTGGCTGGGCAGACTTCAGTTTTTGCAACGCGAATAAAGGCGGCCACTTACCGGCCGTCCCAGTCGACGTAGCCATACCCCTTATGCCCCTCAAGGGCCGCGATGCCCACCTCCCCAGCATCTCGGAGGCATGTGAAGCCTGTTTTGGTGACGGGCGCCTTTTTGAAGTTGTACTCTACACGCTCCTCCGCCGCGCCTAGTATCTTATCGGCGCGCAGGCGTTTCGATGAAGGATCCGTGTTGCCAAGTTCGGCGCGCCGCCGCTTCCGCTGACGCGCGCTTTTGCGGGCCTTCGAGTTCCCGCCGCCCGCTTGTACACCCGCTGCGCCATGCAAGGGCTCCCCCGCGTCAACGGCCCCGCGCTCGCCATCATCTTCAGACTCCGTAAGGTCAGGCAGCGGTGAGCTGCTGCGCGAGTCAGGTATGGGCGAAAGCTCAGACTCTGACTCGGAGGACTCGGCCGAGCTAATGTCGGACTCCATGTCCGAATCGTAGTTGTCGCATGAAGCCTGGGCGCGCGCGGCCTCCGCGCGTTCAAACAAGTCGTCCAAATCGACGTCGAGAGGAATTGGCACGTAGTTATTGAACGCAGCGCCGCTGCGGGTGGTCCGAGCTGTGGGCAATGTCAGTGCGGTTCATTCCATATGTTAAAAAACCCCCGGCCGGGTATGCATTTGCACGGCGTGTTCCCTATCTGCCATGCGTTGACTGACGGGGGCGACTGGCTCTTGCAATAACGGCCGGAAGCTCAAGTAACGCACCGTTGAGGAGATCCTTCAGCCCCTTCATGGCCGTTCGGTTGCAAGCTGAAATTTTTCAGCACGCGCCATTTTACGACACCGCCGCCTTACCTCCCCACTTGCCCACGTTACGGGCACGTGATCGTGCACCCCACGCGCTGTTGACATTCGCGGCAAACTCCGTAGGCCGTGCATCTACCAGTCGCTGTCGGAGCTATCTAAGCTACTCTCGTCCAACCCCCTCCACCGTATTTCGCTACCCGTACCATCACCACTCAAAGACTCTGGAACCTCTAGAGGCGGAGGCGTGCGCCTTTCCTCCTCCCCGATAGCGCCGAGCGCCGCGGCCATATCCTCCACCCTCTCAACCAGCTCCTGATCTTCGTACACTTCGTCATCAACTTCGCCACCAATACCGGGTCCATCCTCCTCCTCGTCCTGGTCCGTAGCCCCCTCTTCTGCTACAAACCCAGGCGCCACATCGCAAGACGCGCTTGCCCATTCTTCCAGGGCGGCGGCAATCTGCTGCTCCGAAGGCCCGCGAACAGGTAGCCCGAGCCGCTCCCAAGTTGCCGCCATGCGAAGCAGCACGCGTTCACGATCGCGTAGCTGATGAATTAGGGCGGGAGAATCTGGAACCGATGAGATTATGTTTTGTAAAGGCTATAGCGTGGCGTGTGGCTCACCTGGGGCACGCAATGCCGCGCGTCGCGCGGCCGCCACTGTCAACCACTCCCCCTCCAGCCAGTCAACTACGTTGGCTCGCTCGTGGGCTAACCGCGCGTCTTCCTCATCGCATCTGTCTAGAAGCAGGCGCCCACGTATGGCCTGCCTAGTGTTGTGGTCCGACATCCACGCAGGCGCCCTATCCGTCGCGTCGCCATCGAACCGGAGGTCATCCCAGCAAGCGTTGTCGATGCCGAGATCCCATATGCCGGATGTGGGGAGCTCAGTTAGGGGGCGGATCGCGCACCGGCCCTTGCGGGTGATCTCGCGCTTGATCATGGCGGCCAAGTCGCGACACGCCTTATTGTATTTGCTGACGATGGACTTGATGGTACCTTCGCGACGCTCTGCGGCGGTGGTGATGTGCTTTCGCAGTTTTTTCTCTGCCCGTCTTCAGAACCCAACACCCCAAGTAGGATGGCCAGGCGTACCTCCATGCTTGTTGCGGTGCGAGCCCACAGTGCGCTCGACTTCCATCTTGCGCTTCATGATCCCGGCCTGTGCTTTCCGCAGTAAAACCAAGCCGTTGGCGCGACGCGTGAGGATTTTGCTTTTCGTGAGCTGGCTCAGCTTCGCCCGCCCCTTGACGCCCAGCTCCGCTACCTTGCGGTCATACCTCGCCTGGGCGGCTAGGTGCTTCGCCTCGGCGCTGCGAAGCTCCGCCTCTTGTTCGAGGTCGAGATCATCCGCCTGGGCGGCCGCACGGAGGCTTTTCAGACCCTCCTCCGCCTTCTGAAGCTCGCCGTGCAGCTCAAGGGCAAGCTGGACTTCCTTTTCCCCCAGGCCTTTGTTCTGCTCTGCGAAGGTCAGTAAGACGCCAGGTGAATGCACGCGTACTCACTCCGAGAGGGCTTGGTCTGCTCGCGCACCTGCGCCTCCCATTGTTCGCGGATAAACGACTCATCCTGCGCCACCTCCCCTGCCTCCTCGATCATCAGATCGGCCTCCTTTCTCTTCGCCGCCGCGTTTGTCATCTTCCGCTTCAACCATGCCGCGAGATTGGCAATGGATTCCTTTGTGGCGAAGGCGAATTGAGTGTTGAGCGTATACATGCGAAGGTGGTACTGCAGGGCGTCAATGGCTATAAAAGAAGTTTAGCTCAGAAGCAACATACCCCTGCCACTCTCAAGTACGGGATGAGCTTGCTAATGGAATACCAAAAGCGCTCGCATCCTTCGCCGTCGCTAAGGCCAAAACCAATACACTTGCGAGGGTGATAGATAAGTTGACATGGCCAGTCGTGCCCGAAAGCGTGGAACACGGAGACGGCGAACTGCAGGCGGTGGAGATACCGATTGAAGAAGCCATGCTTCGCGGCACTGCTGTGCAGCTGGCAGGCGATGTCATACAGGAGGCCGACCCGCCAGTCGTCGGGAAGATTCTCCATGAAGGCGTCGACCAGGGCGACGGCGTAGTACTGCTTTTCGCCTGCTGTAGTCATGTTGGCCCAGAATAAAGGAATATCGTGCCTGCACAGGAGAGCCATGGCGGCGGTGACATCGTGGTGCCCAGTACTCGCTTTAGAGATGGATTCTTGGGCGGCCGTAAAGCTATCCTCGCAGTTGCGAAGCGCCTCCGGTGGTACCCGTATGCCTGCGATAGGCTCATCGCTGGCGGCACTCTGAGGGTGGCGCCGCCGCTTTTTCGGTGGCCGATGCGGCCGACGGGCAGCATCTACGCGCGCTTGCGCGGCGGATATACGGGCTTCATCCAGCATGATCCCGTCGGGGTGATAGAAGGCTGGCTCGCGGGACTGCAAGTTATGTTTTTGCGAGAAGCAAGCATCGATGCAAATCACGGAGTCGGGAGCGCCAGGTTGGATGGCGCTGAGCCGCCTATTGCTCCCGAAACATGCGGGGCAGCGGCCGCGAAGATATGCTGATGGTGCGCGCAGCCGCTCATCGGCGTCGTTGGTGGAGTCGAGATCGTCGTCGACGTCCGATGCGGGGTCGGGCGAGCCACGGCGATGATCGCCCGCCGTTACGCCCGGGTTATCGCGGCGATGGCGAGGGGCGGCCGGCGTCGGCGACGAAGGTGGGTCGCCGTCACTGGGGGTGGGTGCCGTGGCGAGCGGCGTTGACGATGGCGGCGTAAAGCCCATCGTTTCACGCGCGGAGGCGAGCACGCGCTCAACGTGCGCGTCGACGAGGTTGCGGAGGTGCGAATACCACAGTAAGGCGTATCCGAATCGCTTGCGGAGGTTGTCCTACATCGCGCACCTGTCAGAAAGGAAGGCGAGGGGGGGAGGTTGGGGAGCAAGCTTACCGAGTACTGTAGTTTGTGAGCCCTAGACATCAAGAAGGCTTCGGTTGCCTTGCACCACGCAGTGACGTTGGGCGATATATTGAGGAAGAGGAGGCGAGCGAAGTCAAGGATGTTGATGTCGATGGCGATGCTCGGCCTGTATGGCGCGCAGGGAAATAGCCCAACCTCTACAAGCTGTGTGGCAGCCATTCTACATCGGCACGCACTCATCGATATGCGCTCGACGCCTGGGCTTTCTGTTAGCATTCGCGCAGATTGGACCAAAGCGAACATTACACTCACTACCCATCCGTAAGACCAGCACGGAGAGCTGGCAAGCGCGGTCGCCATTGCACGTACACGTACCCCGCTCGGGAAGTCTCCTTCGAGGGGCATCGCGCAGGTTAAACGTCTCCTCCATGAGCCGCATGTAAGGCGCGCGGAGCATCGGCAGGACTTCGTTCTGCCACCGCGCCGTCGTTTCGAGTCTTTTGCGACGATAGGCTTGTCGACGTTGCTCCTTTGCATGATCATCCGGAGGGGCGTCATCCTGCCGATCCTCAGGCGTATGCCCATCCTGCCCATCCACCTCGGGCTCGCCGGGACCGGACTCCTCCGAGCGATCCGACTGTTCTTCGGCGGGAATACCGAGAACGAAGCCAAGCTGCTGAGGAAGTCTGCGAGTGGCTCGCTGTTCTTGAAAGCCCTGTCCCATCCCAGCAAAAGCACGAACGGGGCTGGCGTGTCGCTTCTGGCGCGTTGCATAGACATTCACGGTTTTCGGCGTGAAGCCAGTTCCGCCTCCAGCGCGCAGGGCGCCGCGAGCGGTTGGTACTTTTGTGGGAGTCGCGGGAGGTGGGCGATGAGTTGTCGCAGCCAAGCGCGATTGCGATCGTAGCGGCGCAGGTGAGCTTGGTCCAGCAACAGGAGGCGATGAACTCGTAGGGGGCGGGTCCGATGTCGCCGCAAGGCTGGCTGCCGCTTGAGCGCGTTGGGTCTGCGAGATGCGTTGTCGCCTCATCAGCGTCGAAGGCGAGAATGCGAGGGGCGCAGTCTACCTACCGATAATCGATTTTAGATCTGCTTCCGCGTCGAGGAGCGGGGGGCGTGATGCCCCGCAAACGGAGGCAAACCCGGAAGCAAACATCATGGGGGTATACTTAGCAAAGGTAGCCCTACTCTAGACGATGAATCCTCTACATACAATTATACAAGACAATACAGCGCCGAGCCACGCAGGCAGACGCTCAAAGTTGAAGCGTATGACGACTTTGAGGGTTGACCCCGTACTTGCTATGCCGACGGTCGCAAGATCCAGTACTTGCACGTTGGCGCCAGAGCTTGTACATTCGTAGCCCGATGTGAGTTGCACCCGGGCGCGCGACTGCGCATGTGAGGGAAGTATGGTCAGCAAAGAGCAAAACACGGAAAGGAACCAAGCATTCACTCACAGTATGCAGCCCCGGCGATCAGGTATACTCATAGACTGCGCTGGGTCGATCGCGTGGTGAATGCAGTTGCTTGAGATATCCGACAGTGGAGCATCCGATGAAGTCGTCAGTGCGAGAGGGGACGATAGAGAGTAATGTACTGTCCTTCTACATAGGACTCCTCCCCAAACGAGCAGGCACAGGGAGAGGGCATGGGCGACATGCAGTCGACGTGTAATTCTTGTTAGAAGGCGCTGCACAAGCTCAAATAGACAGACACGAACCTCGAGCAGTATGACCCTGTAAAGCAGTCCATGTCGTATGCCTCGAACGGACACAGAGCATATTGCTGCCTACGATTTGCTGGCGGTACATTGGGTTGGCGGCTGGGCGACGTGGTCGGTCTTGAGGTGTCAGTCCCCTAACATATGAGGACTGACCCGCCAGCCCCCTAACATATGAGGACTGGCGGTCGCGCGTTTTGGTGTCTTGATAGAACCATGGTAGTTTAGAGACGAGAGACGGGCGGCCAAGGGTGGAGGAAGGAGCGGGGGACACAACGCAGGACGCAAGTACGCAGAAAGTTCTGCGGGCGCGTGGCGCTAACGGCAAATGCCGGACCACGGCAAATCCCGGCAGAGACGGCAGCCAAACACATTGCAACAAACTCGTTTTCCCTCTCAACATCGTCGCCCACATCGTCGCGCTTCCGGCAGCCCCGTCCCCTTCTCTGTCCCCGGGCACACATTCTTTCCCCAACAGCCTCATCTGCGCTCTCCGGTATCAGGTACGCCCCCTTGTACGTTGGCTCCAAGTGCTTCCTAACAGGCTATAGTCCTCCATCGCGCGTCTTCGCCTTCACTTCGGATATCCCCCGGTACGTTTCAATCACACAATAATCAGCTCGCTAACACGACACAGCAGTCTTTTCACCCCCGCCCCCTCCCCACACTCGCCCGACCAGGCTCGCGCGTCATTTGTTAGGCGCGCGACCCGTTTGTGCGGCATTTGTTAGCCGCACGAGCGTCTCAAGAGGTCGCCAAGTCGGCAACAAGACTCGAAGACGTACATCTCGCCCGCCCACTCCCTAGCCCGAAGTTGTCGCCATGTCCGCCCCCTCCTTACCGACTTCCTCCTCGTCCGCCCCGATTGCGCCGGCGCGCGCACAGACGGCAAAACCGCGCAAGTTCAAGTCCATGCAGGCGTACTTGAAGCACAAGCGCGGAGAGGGCTCACCGCCGCCTTCACCATCGCCTTCGCCGCCGCCGCCGCCACCACCCTCATACTCTTCAGCGCCAATCTCATCCACGTCCCCAACGCCTTCGCGCGCCGCCAGCCGTGTTTCATCAGGTGGAACCACGGCAACCCACCCTCCGAAATCTGGGCCGTCGTTCGACCCTGCACCCTCGGGTCCGACCATCTTGCCCAATGGCTTCGCGTACCACCCGTCGGCGTCCACCTCCGCAATCATGCTACCTAACGGCCTCGCGTATCACCCCTCGCGAAGCATTGCCGCGATCGAGGTTGAGACACGCGCAGCGGTCGCAGTCGCCAGTGCCGAGGCGCGTCGACGGGACCGGAGCATCATGAAAAGCGCGGATGCGGCTGCGCTTTTCGAGGAGAGAATGGCGCTACACCGCGAACGCAAGGAGCTGGAAGCACACCGGCAGGAGATTGAGCAGCGCGAGGCGGCACTCCTATCCGCACGCCGCGATCTCAAGCGCCGGCGGCGTGAGTTGTGCGACGACGAGGCGGCCGACATCGCCATCATTCAGGATCAGGGTGATGCCTGCGCGCGCCAAGTCCGCAAGGTTATGCGCGCATCTAAGCGGGCGGATGCTCCTTCCACCTCCGCTGCCGCCGCCCTCGACGACGATGACGACGAGCTCTCGAATGACGAGGAGGACGAGCGCCGCGCCAAGCTGATTCGCGCGGTGAAGCAGGAGTACGAGGAGACCGGTGTCCCTCCGCCCGTCCTGTTCGACGCACGAGACATGCGCGACATCGAGCGGTACGACGGCCCCGACAACGAGAATGTCGATCCGGAAGGGGATGCGTACAAGATCTTGGGCAAGCGGAACGTGGAAGAGGACGCGGGCGTAGCGTCTATGGACGTGGATGAAGGCCCGTCCCGTCAACCCTTGGCGCTCGACAGAGCTCCGTCGACACGGGCGATCGAGCCGGACGCTCGCTACTCTCCCCCTCGCCGAGTGGAACCACCCTCGCATCTTCAGGGCCTAACTGGCATGGAAAAGGTGCGCGGCTGAAACATTTGAGCCTGGAATTCTTCTGATTATCACATACAGGGTGTGCATTTCGAGCTCTACCGCGATCAAGACCCCACGCGCGAGTCCAAGTACCTGCGGGCGATCGTCGAACACATCCGCCCCCCCCTGCCTGTCAAGCCGAAGCCGCAGGTTCGCGACCCGACCGTGGTCCTCGACAACTGCAACATCCCCCGCACCGTCTTCCAGGTGGGCAAGCGCTCACTGACAGGTACGCGCCGACCTTTTGACCAATGTAAACACCCCACTCATTCATTGCAGATGGAAAATTTCTGTACCGTGTTCTAGGATTCACCGAAAGCGAACGGTTCATGGTCGCTAGCCCCAACGCCGCCTTCTTGCCTCACGTCCCGGACCCCGACGTTGTACAGCGCATACGTATGCGCGCGGACCGTCGGTTCGGGTCAGAGGACATCACCCTTGTGCCCACCTACTTCCTCCCCAACTACGCGCCTCACCTCGCCTGCATCCCCGCGCGGCCCCTCTCCATCCACCATCCCTCGCAAATTATGTGGATGGAGCCGGAGAAGCTCATCGAGAAGCTGTCCGACAAGTTGCGAGACGACCACAATGCCTATGTCTTGACGGCCCCCGCTGCCGATCAATTCCATCGCGTCATCCTGCCCGTGTGCAAGCGCGCCGGTCGCTATCTCGACCTTTGCGCGCAGGCAGGCAAGATGCCCATTGTTTGGACGCGCGGCCTCAAGATTGCGCTCGGCCACATCTTCGGCTATCTCAAGCACATTCCCGCCCCCCGCGAGCGCGCGCTGCTGATGGTCCGCGAGCTGCAACGCTTATGGCTGGAGCTCAAGGGCATGGTCAATTTCGTGTACGACATCCAGCCCATCCTCACCGGCACTGTCGACCAGCCCGAGGTCGTGACGACGCAGTGGTACATTGGCGCCGCCACGTGCGACCCTAGGGATGTACTTGGTCTCCAACGCGCGGGTGTGCCGGTCTGGCACGTTATGGAATTTGACTTCGCCGCCCGGGAGGTCCTGCTTTCGAAGCACGGACGCGGTAGACCTGCTGCGCGCCAACTCGTCAAGATGTACACCCCCGAGCAGATGGCTGAGACGGGCCGCCACCCCGGCAATCTCCCCTACATCTTTGAAGGCCTTCCCACCGATCCAAGCCGGCTGAAGCAGATTCACCGGTACACGAACCTCGCCCTTTCGATCTCCCCAGCCTACCAAGACGACCTGGCCCAGGTAGCGGGCCGTGACCCTTACGCGCACCCCGCCATCAGTAATCGCGTGTACGGGACATCGCGCCTGCGCCCGCTCGAGTATTTGCAGGCTGGAGGAGAAGGCTCAGGTGGCGAACGGCGCCGCATCCCGCCGGAGGAGGTGAAGCGCGACATGCCGGTGGTCGACTTGCAACAGGTCGACACTGCTTTCGAGGATGGGGATGCGCCACCCGCCGGTGCCTTCGACTTCGTCGAGGACCACAACCCATTCGCCGAGGACGACAGCGCGCCCATGAACAGCGACATGTCCTGCTCCACTACGCGCGAATCGACGGCGTCGAAGACACTGGCCTCTAACGTGCCGGCGTGCGCCGCGGCATCGACATCTTCACCGGCCTCGCCTTCGACATCAAGTACCACTTCGGCAGGAGCTGCGGCCTCGAAGGCAGCGGCGTCGACATCCGTCTCGCCCATTGCGAGCTCCACAGCGCCGCCCCCGCCGCCGAAGTCAATGCCGGGACCATCCGGGGATGTGCAGTGGGTGCAGTCAGAGGGCGGTGGGCTATTCAAGGCCACCGGGGCGATCTACCGGCCCGTAGGAGTACACGGCGTGCCGCGCTTGCGCGACCTCTCAAGTAAGTGCGGTTCACCATTGACTTTCTCGTAGCTGACAACCATTCAGGGCATCACAGAAGCGATCTTCCCATCATGCCGCGCGTGTGGCGAGATGCGAGGGACGAGGTGCAGGACAATTGGCGGCATGATGGCGCAGAGAAGGGGGATAGGTTCCGCACATTCCCCCTACCCGATGTCATCGTGGGGAGCACCTCGGAGGCCAAGATTGCGCGCTTCTATCAGGTCTGGGTGACCTTGGAAGGTGCCGCCATTGAGAACGCACGCAAGGTGCCCCGCGACCCGCAGGTCTTCCAGCGACATTCGGCAGGCATGACTTGGGTCCAACCCGAGGGGCAGGCGTGGGTGGCCCGTCGCGAGGACCTTGTCAGGGTGGAGGAGTCGTCCGCGACGCCCGACATCTCCAATGAACCCTGCCTGGCTGCAAGTGCCCAGGAGTGGAAGGACGTGCTCAACGCCCATACGACCTTCCGCGCCGTTGGAGAGAACCGCCAGGCCTTCCTCATGGCGAAGGTTCGCGAGATCTTTGGCGCGACGATCAACTTCGACAAGGTCCTGGCCTCCCTCAGCCAGCCATACATCGCCCTCGGCGAGGTATGCACCTCTGCCCGCCCGCCCTCTCGCGAGATTGCCAGGGGCATCCTGTGGCGCCTGCAAGAGCTGATCTTTCGCAAGGACCTGACAGATCTCGACCGCCGCCTACGCCTCATCTTCATCACACGGGCCGAGGAGCACCAGCGCCTTCGCATGGTCTTCGCGCGCGAGACGTATGGCGCGGACATCCTCAGCATCTACGGCGAGGGCGAGAGGGATCAGGGCCTTGTCGCGCAGGACTGGATGGAGCGGTACCCGTACGTGGTGGCCTTAGCCGACCTCATGCTGGACTGGGACGAGCCCCTTCCCCGCCGCGTGCGCGACGTCCTCCGCACCCCCCGCTTGTCGCAGCGCGAGTTCGAGTGGATGGAGAAGAAGGTCATCCAGCACTATGCGGCGATGCTCTTTGCACACTTCCACCGCAAGGTCGTGGGCCCCGCGCGTCGTTCTGTTGCTACCTCGAAGCTCCGTTGTTGATGCCGCGTTTTTTGTTAACATTTCTTGGACTTTTCTTGGACACCCCCTGTACAATACATACGCATATCTTCACTGTACTTACCTCCCTGCTCGCCGTACGAACATTTGCTATACATTGCCGTTCCCGCCTCGCCCCCATCACCACCCTACGGAAGAATAGCAAGGTACGCCGGGGCCTTTCCTCACATACTTGGGCGCGGGTGAGCCCCCGTCAGTCAACGCATGGCAGATAGGCTAGCTCACCCTCGCCCTTGCCCACCACAATTCCCTGGGGCACGGGCATACGTAAGGCAAGCGTGCCCCATATTGGTGAAAACCCAGGCTGACTTGTTTGTAAATCACCACAACCCAATAGGAAGTTCTATGTGAGTAAGTGCTAGAAAGTTCTGTGTGCACATGTTATAGAACATTCTGACTGCTAATCGTCTAGAACGTTCTATAACAATTGCGCGCAGAACTTTCTAGCAGGTGGCACTCAGAAAGATCTACTTGAGTAATTATACAGAATGTTCTGAATGGGTAGGTTAGAAAGGTCTGCGGGCATGGTAAACAGAATGTTATGTACTGTACTTAGAAAGTTCTGCATGCTCGCGGTGCAGAACATTCTATGGTCATGTAGCTGTAGAATGTTCTACGGTCATGTAGCCGTAGAATGTTCTACGGTCATGTAGCCGTAGAATGTTCTACGGTCATGTAGCCGTAGAATGTTCTACGGTCATGTAGCCATAGAATGTTCTACGGTCATGTAGCCATAGAATGTTCTGTTCCAGATCCATATAGAAATTTCTACATATCTGCGTTACAGAACTTTCTGAGTCACGTCGCTATAGATTGTTCTAACCCCACAGAACACTCTGCAAATTGTTTTAACCCCGTAGAACAATCTGCAGTGGGCTAACTTAGATTGTTATGGAACTGTTAGCCAATAGAATGAGCTGCCAACAGATACTTCTAATAACTTGGGTTAACGAAATATTGTGTTTGAGATCCGGAACAATCTGATCCAGGATGTGTGATTGCAGACGATAGATTGTTATAGATGAAGGCACTGTTGAGAGTACATGATATGTGCTTTGGTGGGGCAACATGTGGGGCTATTCCCCAGCACATCTCAAGGCCTGTGATAACCTTGTGCTACCCGAACTGCTTGGTGATGCTAAGCCTTTGAATTAAGCACATATGCCAGTAGGAATGAACTTGGGTTTCGAGGAAGAGATATCTCCCCTCCTTCATCCAGTTGCCCGAGAGTGCTCAACGGAAGGTCAAATCATACGTTCTCCGCTAATGCTTTGTCTCTAATGATCTTTTGTCTATTGTAGAACATTCTATCCTTGAATGTATATAGAACAATCTGAAGACTTGAGAGGTAATGCAAGGACAGGGCTTCTGTGTATGTTCAATACTTTTCTGTTGTAGCCCTTAGCCCTATCCTGACACTGACTGGCTCATATATACTCATTGATCTGTATATGTGGTTTGGCAAAGTATATAGGTGGTTGGATGGTCAGTCGGGTGCTCAGATGGTCAGTCAGGTGGTCGGGTGGTCTGGTGGTCAGTTGGGCGACCCGATGATTGGTTGCTGGGTGGGTGATTAATTAATCAGTCAAGTAGTTGGTCTGAACAAGGTAGGCATATAATCAGTCAGCAAAGAAGTAGGAACATCACTAATCAGGAATCTGTAGACAGTATACCATGGTTATAGGTCATATGAGAGGTAGTGCTCACGCTTAGAGAATAATATAGTCTAGTCTTGGCCGACCGTTGCGGAAGGGTCAAGGGAGTGCATCGGAGTTTGAAAATATGTGGCGGCAGGCGGGAGAAGGCCAGTTTGGCGGGCGGTTTGTGGCGTTATCTGCGGGAGTAGCCCAGCTGACGTGCCAGACAGGCTTTCGATTTCAAACTCCGATGCACTCCCTTGACCCTCCGGTGCGGTAGTTCCAGACTCCAGTATGGAGGCTGGTTAACGAGACTAATATAGTCATATACATACAAGATGAGAGGTACTGTTAAACTACGTGAATGTATAACAGATCTTAGAAGTAGATATGTTTCAGTGCTTATATTAACAATAGTAGAGCATAGGAACTACATTATGATATAAGACAATAAGCAGGAATATAGTAACAGGGGCAGGGAAATGATGTAGGAAGTTTTGGTACAAAGTTCTGGCAAATATTCTGGACAGGAACTGGATAAGTCTGGGAAACAGAAAGGTCAAGTACCCTAGAAAGTGTTGAGATAGACCCCAGATCTTGTGGGGTTTATGTATGCTATGACTGACAAAACCTAGACGCCAAGGCTGCAGAATACTGCACACCATACGGGCATAGCCACCGCGGCACCAAGGTAGTCGATGCAGGAGAAGAGTGCCTCGGAGGTGTATGGGTCCGCAAAAGGCGGCTGGTCATATGGACTCTCAGGATATGCCGCCCAGGAGGATGATCAAAAGCAAGATATCAATTTCAGACTTCAGGAGTCTGATGTCTACACACCAAGACAAACATAACGCTAAGGACCTCGCAAAACCGACGTCGATCGATGCACAACATAAACAAGTTGGGATCGGATAGGAGAATTTACGCACAGTGCTCCGCAAGGTCGTCCAGCCAGCTCAAATCGTTGACTAGCCGGGGCCGTCAAGTCATGGTCGGGACAGAGTACTCCGATAGGTATGCCTCGCAAGTCTCTGTCGTAACCGCATTAGTTTGAGCGAGTCAAGCCAAGCCGAGCATGAACGAGGGAGTGCCGAGAGACAGGAGAAAAGAGCCTTGGCCGCAACCATCTGAACGAAGACTCACGCCAGGGAATTTCACTGCCGCAGTTGGCAGTGAGAATAACCAAGCGCCACGCATTCGTAACAAACTGGAAAGAAGTGACTTGCATGTTGGAATGTAACAACGAATTGCGCGTGAATCGATCTGACAGTGACCAACGTCCTGCGTCTTCATAATTCCAAGACGACTGCGTTGTAGACGAATATGCTTAAGCAGGTGAGTATCTGGCGAAGCAAAATATCAGACGACGGCGCGCACAATTGGCCAATATTATCGAGCGGTACCCATGCTCGCGAGGCACAGCCCAGACACAAGTGCGTATGTGCTTCGTGAGGTTGGTACCAGAGAATATCCGCATCGCCCGTGCGCAGACCAGTTTCCTACCTCATTCGTCATTGCGGGTCATGACTCCAAACGACTGCCCAAGGCCAACGTCCGCGAAGTCGGACGCGGGCTTCTAAATCAACGCATTCACCGTGAGAAGACTCGAGCGTGGATTGCCAGCTTCGCCGTCGAGTCCAGTTCCCCATGTATAAGCTCTATCAGCTCCATTGCCAGCAGTCACCGGTTCCATCGGCTCACTCGAAGCTCGCCCGCGATGCGGATCACGGTGTGCGCGAAGACAAGGTCCGAGGATCCGAGCTTGAAGCATTTGCGCGATGCCTTCACGCGGTCGCGCAGGAGGTCGGTGATCAGAGGCGCGACGATATCGAGCGTCCGGGGACGCACAGGTCCGATGAGGACCGACGCTGTCGAGTCCAGCCGGAAGAGCTCCTCGAGACGCCGCCAGTCTGTCGTGAGCGGGTGCTGAAGATTCGCAGGACGCGATAGCAGGCGCGTGAGCAGCAGCAGTACAGGGAGGTGGAGGTGGACAAGCAGGTTATGGTTATCCCGGCCAATGAGGCGCGCAGGTGCGAGCAGCACCTCCCTGGACGTCGATACAGGCGCCCCCGGCCCAATTGCTCGACATATCGGCCGCAGCAGCGAATAGAAGTGCGGCGTGGGGGAGGCGCTCGCCGCCAACGGCTGGCGGTTCACCAGGACCTCCGGCCAGATGCATTGCAGTGAGCGTCGGATCGTACGCCTCCTCGCCCCACCCGCCTATCGCCGTCTCGCGTAACGGTAGCGTACTCTCCGCCTGATGTCGTCCGCCATTTTCACGACCACCAGCAGCATCGTGGGAGGAGGAGCTCTCCTTCATCAGCATGAGCAGGAACTGACAGAACATGACGAGCGCCGCACCGCGTGTGAGCAGCGAGTCAAACGTCCAAGCTGGCGAGATGCCCGCGGGATCATCGTGCTCATGCCCCGCGCGACGGGGATGACAAGGGACTGGTGATGTTGCACGACGACCCGACGGGGCGCGCGCGAATCGGAGGGCGTGCGAGGAGGCGGACCGGCTGTCGTCGGAGCCGTGCGCGTAGCGTGGGCGGTGGGCGTAAGTAGAAGTAGCGTTGGTCCAGGGTCATCGCAGGCCTGCCCCGTCCGAGTTGAACAGCCGCACGGCCACCAGCTTCGCAGCAGCCGACTCGTCGTTGACAAAGTCGAGGATCGACGTCGTGTTGATCTTCGGGTTGCAGAGATCGCTCCCGTTGGGTAAGGTGATCGTCGAAGCACCGGCGGCTCCAAACAGTGGGTGAGGGGCACGAGCTCACGTCTGAGCAGCAAACGGTCGAATAGCAGACGAATATTCTACAGAACAGTGCGTAAATGTGTTGTATGGAGGTCCCAAGGTCAGCTTCGTCGCACACCAACGCAAGCTGGAGGTCGCTCCGAGGCCGAGCACTCTTGAGAACCCGCTGGCGGTCTCTGCTGACCATGGTGATCGAGTGGGACGTTGGTCTATCGTGGATATCTTGTCCGCGTTGTCGGACAAGCGCAGGGGCGGGCGCAAGTTGACGAGCGGGGGGAGGAGATCGCCGAGAGGGCCGGTAGCGAGTCAAGCGCAGATGAGCTACGCTGATCACGGTCCGGTGCGCTGAGGAAGTGCACGTTAGAGCGAGCCTCGACGCGGACGAGCCCGGATTCACGCACTCATTTGCACGACGGGCCGCCATCGATGCGGTCGGTCGTCCTACGCATGGGAGCTGATCACACGGAAGAGCGGCAACCCGGTCCTGGCGCCAGCGGGAGAGACGGATCTTCTCAAGGGCGGTAGGCCAGCCGTGACTGACGCTCGCGAGACCACGCCAGCACGGACGCGGCGCATCCCCAGCATGACGCCGAGGCTTCTGGGAGATGTCCGACGCGTCGACCGAGCCCGGGAGCGAGCGAGAAGGAGCCAAACATTGCAGAAGCCGGGAGGGAGGCGCCGACCTGTCAGAGCCTGCTTGTTCGTCAGCGATGGTAGAAAGAAGGAGATGCAGAGTACGCACCTGCGACCCTCGCCTCATCGCGCCCTGCCTGCGCGGGTCAGCGTGGCGACGACTTCAAGCCGCTGGTCGCAAGCGGCACGGTGCCCCGAAGGAGGACGCATGTCCAGCAACGACGGCGAGACAGCTGTTCGTGCGTGAGCGTGGTCGAGAGAGAACGCAGGCAGGCGCTCACCTAATCTCACTGCCGTCGATCGTCCACGCCCCACGGAAGCCCCAGACGCCGGAGATGCGAGCGGCGCTGCATGCGCTGTGCTTTGTTGAAGAAAGCAAGGAAGGGGGAGCTTGGAAAACCGTACCTCTGAGCCAGGGAGCTGGGACATCATGGGGGAAGGGTCGAGGAGGCCGACCGACGGCATCTGCCGTCCGCAAGTGGCGTGCCGCGCCCTCGGCACCATCAAGGCGATTACTATGTATGGTAGGCTGGCTGTGTCCGCCGCGTCGCCGTCAGTTCGAATCTCGACGTTCAGGCCTTTCGACGTGCACGCACGCCCGAGACACGCCACGCCATCAGAGGCCCCGGCAGGGCACAGGCAGCTCACTACTAACGCATTCCTATGCTGATTGCGACGCTGATCCTGTTTACGATTCATAGTTAACGTCGTGCTCGATACCGCTCGCCTCTTATAATTGTACGAGCACGAATCATCATGTATTGGTAAGCGACTTGGATACGCTAGAGCAAGGTTGGGGGCACATGTCCAAGATACAGGTCTTACGCAGCTTTTACACGTTGTAGCGAGATACCAGGTGAGAAATACAGACCGATACAATAACAGCTAGCCTGCGTCCCTCTTCTCGAACTTCCGATTGCAAGACGTTTAGGGAGATCGCGCTCTTGTCCGGGTGCCACTTCAGTTGCTCGCTCTTCAGGATGCTGACCGGCTTCTTATCGTGGACACCGGGGCGCTTCGGATCGAGAAGAAAGGAATGGATGGCGTCCTCCGTAAGACTAGCCTCTCCTGCAAAGTCGTGGACGGGCCAAGGGAAGACATCAAGAGACAGTGCGCCAATGGGAACTGTGGCTGCCTTGATACGCTTCCATCGCTTGTCGTATAACTCAAACTCGTTTTGCGGCGGTTTCATAGCGTCGAGTTGGTCAAGAAGTATCAGACGGGCCTGATACTCTTTTGCGGCGCTCTCCCTCGCGGTCTCGAGGTCATTGCGCAACCCTTCGACGATCTTTTGGTGCTTGCGGATGAGCTCCTCTCGCTCCCTCTTGGCCTCCTCAAGCTCCGAGCGCATCTCTTTGACGGCTCTCTGATGCTCGCGAACAAGGGTCTGGCGGTCACTGCTGGCAGTTCCGCGTGCGGCCTCGAGTGCGATACGCATTCCTTCGACAGTCCTCTGGTGCTCGCTAATGAGGTCCTGACGCTCGCTGTTGACGGTCGCGAGCTCAAGGCGGAGCTCATCAACGGCTGCCTGATGCTCGCGAGCAAGCTCCTGGCGGTCTCCGCTGGCGGTCTCGTGTGCGATCTCGAGGTCATTACGCAACCCTTCGACGATCTTTTGGTGCTTGCGGATGAGCTCCTCTCGCTCCCTCTTGGCCTTCTCAAGCTCCGAGCGCATCTCTTTGACGGCTCTCTGATGCTCGCGAACAAGGGTCTGGCGGTCACTGCTGGCAGTTCCGCGTGCGGCCTCGAGTGCGATACGCATTCCTTCGACAGTCCTCTGGTGCTCGCTAATGAGGTCCTGACGCTCGCTGTTGACGGTCGCGAGCTCAAGGCGGAGCTCATCAACGGCTGCCTGATGCTCGCGAGCAAGCGCCTGGAGATCTCCCTTGGCGGTCTTGCGAGCGCTATCGAGTTGGAGGAGCAGCTCATCCACCGTGTCCTGGTGCGAGCGAGCGAGCCCCTCTCGCTCTTTCTCAGCGGCACCGAGGGCATCCTCGAGTCGAAGGCGCGTCACCTCAAGGGCTTGCTGATGAGCGCGAAGTTTCTCAGCTAGATCCATGAGTCTGGTAGCGCTAGCGTTCGCCACGACCAGCTCAGCCTCCAGGCGGCAAATCTCCTTGCCGCTGTCGACGCGCAAGTCTTCGAGCTTCGCACGGATGCTTTCAAGCTCGGTCTGCAGAGAGACCTGTCGCGCACGATATCGGACACGGAGTTGATCGTTTGTAAGTCCACTCATGGAGTCATCGACGGTATCGTTCCCAGTGCGCAGAGCGAGCAAGTACTTGGCGCGCTTGCGCGCGCTCTTCGCGTCTGCGTCAGGGCCAAACATGCATACTGCGACGGCGCGTTGAGGGGAGGGCGAAGGTCCAACATTAGCAGGGGCGGCGTTAGATCCGAGAAGCTCCTTCGCTAGTGTGAGGTTCGAGGGGTCTCGTGAAGTGTATTCACTCACAGGACGTGCGCCAGTGATCTGCCTCGAAGCGCTTACACGGGCAGAGAACAGTGGGTTTTGGTTCGTGCGCGGGTACGGATGATGGCGACATCTAGTTGCTTGTTGGTTGGGCGATAGTGTGGTGGGAGACGGGATTGAGGGATTAGAAGCAGCAGAGAATTCGAGGGCCCTCATGGCGGCTGGTTGCTTGAAAGCTCCAACCTTGGCAGAGTATATAAGTAGGCCTACCGTCTTTGGTCCTAGCACTCTAAGGGGGCAAAGACCAAAGGTCGGCAAAGATCTTTAGGACCATCAGATAATGATAGACAAAGCATTGAGTCAAGGAACGACCAAAGAGTGGTTATACCGGAGGACAGAGGGATATCTTAAACGAGAATGGAAGATTGAATGGCTTACAGCGCTTTGCAGAATCGCCGTTGTCAAACTGTGGCGTTCCAGCTTCCTGGTAGGTCGTGCACTGACCTTTGACCTCTCTTGGGCGAAGAGCGTACATGAGAGGGTATACACATTTCCCATAGCCCTTGGTACGTATTCACGGAAGACTGTAGCCAAGGCAAATTTGATGAGCGTGGAATCGATTGAGCGGGCCCATGACAGGAAACGGTCTAGGTTCCGCGCGTGTATGCTCGGAAGTTGCCGAGAGAAGGTATGATGCGCGCCCTTTCAGCTTGGGGCGGGAAGCTGGAAGCAAGCATCTGTTCGTCGCGGAATTGTGCGCCAAGCGCTGCAAATCGCTTGCAGGTTTCGCATCATATTGAATGACACAGTAAGTGATGAGCGTATATCTCCACGCAAGCTTTGCATAGGCCGCGGAAGAGGCAGGGGTTTGAAGACTGAGGAACAGCACCTGGAGGTGCAACCATCGGGTGGGGCACTGATGAGCTAGGAGGACTGCGTGGTGTCTCCCGCCTGTCGGGGCGTGCGTGCACGTCGAAAGGCCTGAACGGCGAGATTCGAACTGACGGCGACGCGGCGGACACAGCCAGCCTACCATACATAGTAATCGCCTTGATGGTGCCGAGGGCGCGGCACGCCACTTGCGGACGGCAGATGCCGTCGGTCGGCCTCCTCGACCCTTCCCCCATGATGTCCCAGCTCCCTGGCTCAGAGGTACGGTTTTCCAAGCTCCCCCTTCCTTGCTTTCTTCAACAAAGCACAGCGCATGCAGCGCCGCTCGCATCTCCGGCGTCTGGGGCTTCCGTGGGGCGTGGACGATCGACGGCAGTGAGATTAGGTGAGCGCCTGCCTGCGTTCTCTCTCGACCACGCTCACGCACGAACAGCTGTCTCGCCGTCGTTGCTGGACATGCGTCCTCCTTCGGGGCACCGTGCCGCTTGCGACCAGCGGCTTGAAGTCGTCGCCACGCTGACCCGCGCAGGCAGGGCGCGATGAGGCGAGGGTCGCAGGTGCGTACTCTGCATCTCCTTCTTTCTACCATCGCTGACGAACAAGCAGGCTCTGACAGGTCGGCGCCTCCCTCCCGGCTTCTGCAATGTTTGGCTCCTTCTCGCTCGCTCCCGGGCTCGGTCGACGCGTCGGACATCTCCCAGAAGCCTCGGCGTCATGCTGGGGATGCGCCGCGTCCGTGCTGGCGTGGTCTCGCGAGCGTCAGTCACGGCTGGCCTACCGCCCTTGAGAAGATCCGTCTCTCCCGCTGGCGCCAGGACCGGGTTGCCGCTCTTCCGTGTGATCAGCTCCCATGCGTAGGACGACCGACCGCATCGATGGCGGCCCGTCGTGCAAATGAGTGCGTGAATCCGGGCTCGTCCGCGTCGAGGCTCGCTCTAACGTGCACTTCCTCAGCGCACCGGACCGTGATCAGCGTAGCTCATCTGCGCTTGACTCGCTACCGGCCCTCTCGGCGATCTCCTCCCCCCGCTCGTCAACTTGCGCCCGCCCCTGCGCTTGTCCGACAACGCGGACAAGATATCCACGATAGACCAACGTCCCACTCGATCACCATGGTCAGCAGAGACCGCCAGCGGGTTCTCAAGAGTGCTCGGCCTCGGAGCGACCTCCAGCTTGCGTTGGTGTGCGACGAAGCTGACCTTGGGACCTCCATACAACACATTTACGCACTGTTCTGTAGAATATTCGTCTGCTATTCGACCGTTTGCTGCTCAGACGTGAGCTCGTGCCCCTCACCCACTGTTTGGAGCCGCCGGTGCTTCGACGATCACCTTACCCAACGGGAGCGATCTCTGCAACCCGAAGATCAACACGACGTCGATCCTCGACTTTGTCAACGACGAGTCGGCTGCTGCGAAGCTGGTGGCCGTGCGGCTGTTCAACTCGGACGGGGCAGGCCTGCGATGACCCTGGACCAACGCTACTTCTACTTACGCCCACCGCCCACGCTACGCGCACGGCTCCGACGACAGCCGGTCCGCCTCCTCGCACGCCCTCCGATTCGCGCGCGCCCCGTCGGGTCGTCGTGCAACATCACCAGTCCCTTGTCATCCCCGTCGCGCGGGGCATGAGCACGATGATCCCGCGGGCATCTCGCCAGCTTGGACGTTTGACTCGCTGCTCACACGCGGTGCGGCGCTCGTCATGTTCTGTCAGTTCCTGCTCATGCTGATGAAGGAGAGCTCCTCCTCCCACGATGCTGCTGGTGGTCGTGAAAATGGCGGACGACATCAGGCGGAGAGTACGCTACCGTTACGCGAGACGGCGATAGGCGGGTGGGGCGAGGAGGCGTACGATCCGACGCTCACTGCAATGCATCTGGCCGGAGGTCCTGGTGAACCGCCAGCCGTTGGCGGCGAGCGCCTCCCCCACGCCGCACTTCTATTCGCTGCTGCGGCCGATATGTCGAGCAATTGGGCCGGGGGCGCCTGTATCGACGTCCAGGGAGGTGCTGCTCGCACCTGCGCGCCTCATTGGCTGGGATAACCATAACCTGCTTGTCCACCTCCACCTCCCTGTACTGCTGCTGCTCACGCGCCTGCTATCGCGTCCTGCGAATCTTCAGCACCCGCTCACGACAGACTGGCGGCGTCTCGAGGAGCTCTTCCGGCTGGACTCGACAGCGTCGGTCCTCATCGGACCTGTGCGTCCCCGGACGCTCGATATCGTCGCGCCTCTGATCACCGACCTCCTGCGCGACCGCGTGAAGGCATCGCGCAAATGCTTCAAGCTCGGATCCTCGGACCTTGTCTTCGCGCACACCGTGATCCGCATCGCGGGCGAGCTTCGAGTGAGCCGATGGAACCGGTGACTGCTGGCAATGGAGCTGATAGAGCTGATGTTCGAGGGATGTTATGCGTCATCGGACCCGCCAGCAGTGAGGGAATCGTTTGCGGGTGGAAGGTGCTTCCTCAACAGTCCTGGACCCAACGGTGACGCCGGCGCTTCACATCCGGGTCGTCTCACAGCGAATGCGTTGGTGGGGAAGCACGCGTGCGACTTTGCGGAGAATGGTCTCCACGCACCATTGGGAGCTTCTCGGACGAGGCAAGTCCCGCAACTGGCATTTGGGTTACGCACCTGACTCGCCCACAGGCGATGCTGGAACTCTCTCTCTGATGCTGCATCATCGGTATCGACCTCACGAAGCACACACGGACCTACGTGCCTGCCTTTGGCGGTCGCCTCGCGAGCAGGACGAGGTGTCATACCTTTACCGATTTCCGCACCACTGCGCGTCGTCTTAGATATCCTGCGCGCTGTTTGTTCATATGCGAGCCATGGAATGTACTTCCCACCTCCTTGACTGTCCACGCCATCAATGCAAACTCAGTAAGCACTGACTGCGCAACGCTACACTATCGTGAGCGCTGAGATCGTAGGATGGTTGCGTCATTGCGAGGGCACGATAGATCCACTTTCATGGACACCAAGACTGCTATTAAACGGGACGATACGGTGGAAAAATGGCTGAATTGCGAAATCACTGTCCTCCCCCTTCCTCGTTACGCATGTAGTACCCATACATATAGATGCAAAGCATGCAAGCCCAGTAAATGCAATAGGGCAGGAATGCCATGCCGCAGGCAATGCAACCCCTCGACATCCGTGATCCCGGCAACGGGGCTTCCTTCCTATATATGATGATGTCAGTGGACTTCAGTATGCTGGACCCCGCAAAAGCCAGTATATGCCCTTCCGCCGTGGTGCATGTCTAAGCGCGATGCGTCAGCTCCAGTCAGAAAGAAGGCAGAGAGAGATACACACCGCTACAGGCTGTACTAATCCCCCTTTTGGGTAATCCAGAACCTGAACCTTGGAAGGATCGTCGACGTCGTAAAGCACTGCATGGCCGTTGTCTGTTCCTGCGAGCAAGACCCTGCTACCCTCCCCAAAGGCTAGATGCATGGGATACAGGATGCTGTTCGCGCATGGAATCGAAACTGGCGGTACGTCGTTGCTCATGGAGACGATCTCGATGGATCGGCCTGTATATGCTGCATAGCGTTGCGCGACAGGATCGAAAGCGACGGAAGCACTTAATTACTTTGTCAGACATATATGTCAAACGCTTCGCGATATGAATGGGTTTACATGAGTCGGGGCGCATCTTCCCTGGCGCCTACCTTCATACCCGATTCACAATCGTATCGTGAGCTGTCAAATCATGAGATCAGCTTTCTGGTGTGGGTGTGATCGCACTTGCATTACACCGCCAGCTCGATTAAAAACTACGAGAGTATGACCGAGTTGGTCGAACTTGACGTGTTGGGGAAAGCAGCCTTGATCCAATGTGATGATGAATTTCTCGAGGACAACAGCATCGACGGTAACAGTTGACACGACAATAGTGCCGTTGGTCAAGGCGGCAGCTATGAGACTCCCAGACTCGTCGGCAGGGACTTCGGCATGATACACGTCCAAGGACACGACCTCAGTCGCGCCACTCAGCTTCAAGCGCCTCGAGCGCACGAAGGCCTGGAAATGTGTGAGTCATACATATGGCAGAATCTTTGACAAATACGCGCCTGCTTGGTCTCGTCGAAGGTCCATAACAACACGTCCCCGAGTTTGGAACATAGAACCAAGATCTCGACGCTATTCTCGACGAAGAACAGCCAGGCTGAGCGAGTGTATAGATGCTTCTCGCGATACTCAGCACGAGAGTAAGGCACAGTCACTTTGTCTTGTCCTCCCAAATTCCATACAGACACCCCGTCGTAGCCTGTCATCGAGTCAACACGACCGTTAGATGTCGCATATCAGTGAAGCCTGAGACGCTGACCAGTTATTGCTAGGTATTTACCCCTTGAAGAGAAGGATAGGGAGGTTATCCCATCCTTCTGATCAGCAATTGTCGTCCAGTATGTATATTCGGACGAAGGCCGGGCCATGGACGTGAAGTGGTGTGCGCAGAAAGTCTTCCTGAGCGTTCGTGAGCTGACGAGCCGACGGAGGAATCAAATCAATGGAAGTTATAGGGTCAGGTTGGCCTGTCTCACCTTACAATGGTGAATGCGCAGTGAATACGCGAGGAGAAGTCTGGGTCAAAGAGAATATCGTGTGACCAGAATGCGACTGTGACATGCATCAAGCCACGTGCAGCATCGGCCTGCAGGCGCCTCGGCTTTTACCGAATGCTCTCCCAAGTCCGCAATGTCTCGCCGAGTCCCCTGAACTGCCTCGTTCCCCGCCCCACGGAGAGCGGCAACGTGTGCTTCGAGCTCACCTCCAGTGCGATTGCTCCACTCCTGTTGAGTCATGATCAGGTCTCTCTCTCTTCTTCAACATTCGGGCCCGCGTCGTCTGGCATGCTGCGCACATGGAAATATGGATGTAAATGCTACTTCAGGAGATGCGCGAAATTGTGCAGGAAGCCCACTGGAACTGCCGCCGACCGACGTTGTGGAGCCATCTCCTATCCGCCCCAGGTGCAGAATCAACCGCACAACGTCGCCATCGACTTGCGGCTCCTACTGCTCAATGCGCTTCCGTGTATCTCTTCAGCATCTGAGCGCGCTAGCCGCCGGCGCGCCTTCTCATCAGATGCAGGCGCAACGTCCGCAACAAATCTCGGCGCTTAACGAGGCGCTACTCAGATACAATTTTTTGTGTTTTCCTTGCAGCAACAGCGGTCTTTCCGGTCCAGCGGACCTGACGCTGTGCTTGTCTCAGTTTGCTGATCATCTGGTGAAACGCGCCATCTGAGTGAAGCGCGTCATATCCTCTGTCGCTCTGTTTGTTCTTGGTGCTGACGGTCCCATCGACGTTTCCCCGGTATCCACGAACAGCAGGGTACTTGCCAGGCTCTTCACCTGACAGGAAACCACAGCTTCAGCGCGGCCGAAAGGGGATTTCGAGGTCTGAGGGCGCAATATATTTGGGATTGGCGGAAGAATAGCATACTACAATAGGTAAATGCTTTCCGTAACCATATGCTCATATCTCAATTCCTGTCCATAGCTGCGGCCATGTGGACCATCGATCTCATTGGCAGATGGCGTGCGGACGCGTTGAACAGCTTCTGGGAGGAAAGAATTCACAGAGGCGTCAGTGGTGCATGATTTCCCTGACGCTGTGAGCCCTAGCGGGGGAGAGCATCTGTGCGTAGATGAACCTTGCGAGAGTTCGGGGGGACGCACGGCAGACTGATTGTGCCTCTTCTGTCTCGGTCTGGATCTCCTATGGCGTGGCGAGGTACGGAAAGAGACAGAGCACGTACGTCAGCCAATCGTTCTGTTGCCACTGCGGGACCAAGTTCAACTCGCACTCCTGCGTCCCAAATCAGACCCTGAGCCACGCCCAAAAGAACCAAGTCGCGACAGATTAATACCGGTCTCACACAAAAAGCACGCATCTGTTTTACTTGTACACAGTAGAGGTGGAACCCGTTGGTCGATATGCGCAGCGAAGTCCTCGAACTGTGAGGCCATTGATATTGAGTTGTAAGAGGAAGAAAATATCCGCGAAGAGGATTATTCGCATTAATGGATCAAGAGAGAAATAGCCGAAAGCGAGTAGGGTGAGAAGGATGCGTTCGAGATCAGCATATGTAAGCAGAACATTACAGGGGATCGTAGTCTAGGTGTATCTATACCCCTGCCTGTCATTTGTGGCGCTTTGCCGCGTCGCCCTTCTTGCGATGCTCAGGGTTGTACTTGTAGCCTGGGTACATGCGCTTATGATCCGCCTTCACGCGGTCTGCGAGCTGCCGATAGTAATCGCGACTTTCGTCCGGGAGCTCACGCCAGGCGCGGCCGGCGTCGCGACTGACTTGGCGATGGTTGCGCTCAGAGGGGTTCGCCTTCTGCTCCTCCCAGTATTTTGATCTGAATACCATAAAAGCGTTGGGAGGACGTGGTATGTGGTCGCCACCGCGACGGCGGGAGTGCGAGTTCGAGCGGGTGGGGGGCTTGTATATCATGTCGTTCTCCGTGATGGTCCAGCCCAAGTTTGACCCCTGCGCAAAGTTGTCGTTGCTGGCAGCTGGGAAAGACTGCTCTGACAGCGAGAGCGTGGCGTTCCCCACGGTGGCGCTGGAGCTCGACTCTGCCGCCTGCGTGAAGACGTCAGGCAGCGAGCGTGTCTTTGCCGTGCGCGCGCTGCCGACGAGCGAGTTGGATAGGTGGGCAGGCCAGAGCCAATCGGCATCGTCGCTAGACATCTCCGGGAACCGATACCCTGAATCAGACCAGGTGGTAGTCATGGCGGTGGGCTCAGGGGGAGGGTTGGGGAGGTCAGACAGCGACCGCGACCGCGTCGTTCGCGAGCCGCCGAGGAGTGACTTGGACTGATGCGGAGGCGCGTGCATGCTGACACTGCCCTCCAACCTCTGCGCCTCTTCGAGACCATACACCTCCTCCATGATCGAACGGGACTGAGGATCCGACCAATCGGCAGGCATGAGCATGGGGGGCGTCGGCGACCTCGCCACTCGGCCGTCATCTTGCGCGACAGATGATTGTTCGTGCGAGTCCTTCGTCTGCTTGCGTTTGGCTGCGTTGAAGTATTGTTCCCGCTCCGCGACCGTGAGGGCCTTCCAGGCAGCCGTTGCGACGTTGCATATATGCAGGCAGCGGCCGCGGATGCTGGCCACGTCAGCGCTGAACTGAGTCTTTAAGAAGCAAGCCAAGGCGGCTTCGAATTCGTCCTCGTGCTCGTTCGAGCTCAAGTCTGCAGGTGTGGATGCCGAGGCAGGTGGTGAAGAGCGGGTCGTGCTCGCAAGGGGAAGGGCCATGCTCGCAGGCGGAGGGGCCATGCTCGCAGGCGGAGGGGTCATGCTCGCAGGCGGAGGGGCCATGCTCGCAGGCGGAGGGGCCATGCTCGCAGGCGGAGGGGCCATGCTCGCAGGCGGAGGGGCCATGCTCGCAGGCGGAGGGGCCATGCTCGCAGGCGGAGGTGTAACAATGGTCGTATCCGTCTGTGACGCCGCCGGAACAGAGTCCTGCTGAGCAGAGTTCTCATTATCCTCCTCCTCCGGCGAGGATTCCTCTGAAGAGTGGTGTGAGGAAAACCGCGGGTACCTGACAAGGGAACTACTCACTGTAGTTCGGAGGCGGGCGCTCGAATAAGCGCACAGAACGTCTGGAGGGAAAGCGTCGGTCAGCCGGCATGATAAAAGCGATGTTGAGAGTAAGAGATCGCGGGAAGAGAGAAATAGACCGGGCGGCCTGCTCTAGCTAGACGCATCGGGGGGTTTTTGTATGGCACGAATCGCCTTGCCCGCTGGGGATATAGACGGACGTCTCTGAGAACGAGAAAGGCGTATCAGTATATAAGCACGGAACCATGTCCTCGAGGTCTTCATCACACACGTTCCAATCCTGCGTGCAATGTATGCAAGGCACTAAAGAAATTCATGGCGACATACCGACAACTTGGGCAATTTTGTGCAGCTCAAAGATGGTCGTTGCGATAGAGGCTAGAGTCGAAATAAAGAGGAATGAAGCGCTGACAGCAACGCACTGGCGGACACACAGATGGCCACGAGCTTCGAAGGGAGGCTACAGTGAGTCATTGACGAGTTTCTCCCGCGCTCGAGACTGGGCGGCGGGAGCGTCATGAGGCATCGGAAAGAGTTCTACGTGCTGCGCGCCTTTGACGATGAACTTCCGATAAGACATCGCCGGAGTTTGTCTCATGAAAGACTAGCGCGCATGTTCCGGGGGTGGAAAGTTGACGATGCGTGTCGAGCTTCGTTGCATGCACGAGGTCGTTTGGTACAAACAGGGAGCCGACGTGCTGAAAGCAAGCTATCTTGTCGCGAACAAGCGAAGGAGGTAGAAAGAATCAAATCCAGAAGCAAGGTGATATTTGTGACTTCTTACTAAGGGGTAGAAGCTGGAAGTTACAAGGAAGGGCCTCTTGCGATGCCTCAAGTTCCGGCAACGTCCGAGGACGTGATGGCCAATTTCCCGTCATGGCACCCACGTGGCTGCCGCCCGAGGGCTCGGCGCCTCGTCGCCTGTACTCCTTCTCGTGCTCTCCTCGCCTCGCTGACCACAGACGGGGTACATCACAAAAGCATAATGCAAGACTACCATGGCTACATTGTCCTCCAGTATCACACCCTGGGCGATTCTTTGCGTCCAGAGAGCGGAAGAACTGAAGCCGCGATTATAACAGCAGCATGTCAAGCTGTCGCAGTCTGAGCGCGCCCCTTCGAGGTCAAAGCCACGATCGCCCGCAAAATGGGACCTCATGGTATGTGAACAGTGACCCTCTGTTCGTGGTCTGACGCGTCCCAGAACGCGACAGCAAGCAACGGACTCACCTTCGGGCGCTGCAACATCTTGCCCCTCCCCAGAGACGCGCACATCGAGACTACTTGGAAGGAAGTTCCGATGACTACGCCTTCGCTCACGCCCCTGACGAACTGTACGGCTATCCACCTTCACCGCCCTATCCCGCGACAGTTCATCAGAGCCATGCTCAGCCGTTGCTACCACCTCATATAATTCCTCGCGTCCTCTACGGCGCTGAGCGCCGCATACACCACTGTACTCAAGATCATCCATACGTTTTCCCAATGAATCCGTATTATGGACCCCCCCTATCATCGCAAACTCTACCAGCACCTTCACGATATCGACCGCGACGCAAAGACAGGAAGTCACACATTCCGCGCCCGCCCAACGCATTCATGCTGTTTCGCTCTCACTTCCTGCGCCAGACGCATCATGTGGAGAAGCGCCAGCAGCATCTGAGCCGTCTGGCCGGCGAAGAGTGGCACCGGCTCCCTGGTTCAGAGCGCGACAGGTGGACGCAGCACGCGGACTATGTAGCGCAGCGACACCAGGAAGAGTTCCCGTACTATAAGTATACACCGCGACGAAGGGGTGGTGGTGGGACCAATACGGACTTCGAGCACACATCGGCGCGATTGACTGTACTCGCATGCGATGCCAACAGCGAGGGCTCAAAGGACTCGTACGGGATACGGGCCGATGATACGCTCGATGACGAACAAACTTCTAGGCAACCCGCGGCGCTGACCTTGCCTCCACTGCGGTCGTCTTTGCCTCACCTCGCCTCCCGACCACCGCTGATACTGCCTGCGGACATCGATCCGCCAAAGACCTCGACACCCCTTCCAATGCTCCTCGAAGCGTCCATCCCCTTTCATCAGGGCTTCCGACCTGGTGCCGCCCCGCAGTGGTTGTCGGGAGAGGCAGCGGACGATCGCCCCGCGTCTGCCGCCGACCTAGTACCTCTGCGGCGACAAGACTTCTCCCAAGAATTGCTACCACAGCCTGCTGCGCCCACAGCCGTCTCCCAGATAGTACACGGGCGGTCTGGGCTCGATACCAACGTCGATGTGCAGAACCTCTCCCAGGTCGCGGTACGCTCTGGTCCGATACAAACTTCGGCGCACTCACACATGCACACAGGATGTATCGAGCGCCGGCTTACCCGCGTACGCTGAGGCCCCCATGGTCTTAGCAAACGAGCACGAACCTTGGGCATATACGTCGCATGGCGCCGCCGAACAGAATGTATTGAGCGACCTCCCCTACTCATCCGTTTTTTCCTTTGCAGCCGACCACTCATGCAGTGGGCCTTCCGTCTCGATCTAGATTCTATGTTCGCTGGGGCTGTCATCTTCGTAGATAAAGCAGCGAAAGGACTGGCAAATGTGTTTCCATAGCGTTCATAACATAGACTATAGCAGCAGTCTGGTAGGTCCAGACGTCAATGGCAGTTGCTATTCGTGCACGTGTTCAGTGATCCGGCTCCGAAGCGGCATATTCCGAACCAAAATTACAAACATACAACTGTCCCACGGTATCTCAAGCTTTCAAGCGTTGTCGGAACCTGACCCCAGTCTTCGAAAGAATGGCCGTCGTTGATCGATGGTGATCCCGCGAACAGCAAGTGAGAAAAGTGGGAATGTCCCTTACGACATCATAGAATCGGCCTGCGATCGCTTTCGCGACTCCATCAGCAATAACCTTTCATACGTACGCTGGAGTAGCCTCTATCCGCGGGGCGGAATGGTGAAGGCCCCGGAAGGGATGGATGATGACTGCCCGTGGGCGCACTACTGTACACACAAGCATACGGCTGGGCCAGACGGTCCGGTCGGTCTAAACAGCTCCGTCCCTCGCCCTGTAGCCCTACCCTAGGGCCGGTATCTAGGATGCTCGCTTTGTTGCCTTGTGCACGCGAGAACACTTCCCAGCGACGGATCAGGAACGCCGTGAGGGGTTCGAAGGTACAAAGACCAGAGATTTGATCCGTCGATACGCACGCGCGAGTCACATGAAGGTTGAATTTGTGCTGGCCAATATATCACGTACAAGCGATGTACCGGAAGGAGATCACGCAGCGAGAAGCCCGGGAAGAAGGGCGATGGTAGCAGTCAGAACATCATGTATTTCGAGTGAAAGCAGTGGAGCGTAATCCGAAGAGTCTTATCCGCGTTTTTGAAAGCGGCGACGACAGGAGCGACTGTACGTGTACTTGATGCGATGCGTATATATATGCATAGGGCCATACGCAGCCTCACCAGCTGGACGTGGAGGGCGAGGCGGCGATGGCGGTCGCGGCGGGGGGAAACAGAAGAATTTCTGCAGAGGAGGTACAGTCACTGCGTTCGCATTCGCCCACGCCACAGCCTGCGCGCGAAGCTGGTAGCACAAGGGGAAATCTTGATACAGAGGGATGGCCGCCCGACACAGAGGACAGTTTGCACTACGCTGAGCGTGGTAGTGGGAAGACAAGCACGCCTGGCAGAATACGTGCCCACAGTTCAGCCTAATAGGACATCAGTGGTGGTTCACAAGAGGCGGTGGATAATTGACGCACATGCGAGGCAGAAAATTGGGCTCCATGCAAACTGGGCACGTTATTGCGGTTCTCTCTCTCTTCGATAGTTCATCGAGCTGGCTCTTGGCGACCTGTATCCGTCTTTAACCTCGTACAAGAAATTTCGATCGAAGAACATACCTGCAAATCAGCTTGTATGTCCTCGAAGGCCGCTAGGACTGTGTTCGTAGAGCTGGGGCTAGCGTTCTGTGAGGCAACTTAGTCTGATGCCAAATGGGAAAAATCCAGACCGTACCTCCACAAGAACGTATTCAGAGTCGTCAGAGATTTTAGCGATCGCGTTGTGCGTGATGCCACGAGCCCTGGACTTCTTTGGGACACCACGACTGATATCGACAGGTTTCGTCTTGCTCGGTGGGGAGTACGGAGCTGCGTCAATACGAGCGCGGACGGAACTACGCCCAGACTGGCGTCGGAGGGATGGTGTCATATCAGAGAGCTTTCTCGTATTGGGGAGCTATGGCTGAAGAAGCGCGCAATTTATAAGTACGCACAGGATGTATTTCATTGGGCAGGTTGACAAAGACCTTGAATCGCAACAGATGTTGAAGGGTGTGAATGGGACCGATTGAAGAAGAAAGATCTTTCAAGGCGTTTGACCACGAGGCCATTGTTAGGCGTTTCCCGTTGATCCGTTGGAAAGTCCATGCATCAATCTCGTCCCCATTGATCCGATCTAAAGGTCAATCACGCACGTTTGTTGGTCATCATCAAACGCGTGAGCCTTGCTTCTTCTTTCCGTCTTCGTTTCCATCTTTACGATGCAAGCACCCGAAGGCTTATTCGGTGAGGCTTTCTCCTTATTTCCTCTTTTCAACTTATTGTCCTTTCGACTCAAACACCTGCATATGCCGGATTGTAGGGTCGCGAATTGTGGCAGTATATAAAGTGCCTTCGGTGTCGGCCTCGCATGTGGCTCCTCTGATAGCTAACTCATCTACACGACTGAGCACCTCCTCCTCGCTTGAAGATCAATGAATGAAGACATACAGGACGCGGACACCAGCTTGGCGGGCATGATAGGGCGCGCGAAGGCGGCCGCTCGTGAACTCATGACATTCCTTACCCCACAGGTACTTACGTTGGGAGAGTGACGAGAAAACCCTCGAATATCAGCCCCATTTTCAGCAGCCACCGATTCCATGAACTCACTCGAAGCTCGCTCGTGATGCAGATCGTGGTGTGTGCGAAGATGCATTCCGTGGATCCGGGCTTGTGTTAGTCGCGCAGTGCTTTCACGAGCTCGCGCAGGACATCGCTGATCACGCGCTCGACGACATCGAGCGTTCGGGGATGCATGAGTACAATGAGGGTCGACACTATCGAGTCCGGCCGGAAGAGCTCTTCGAGACGCCGCCACTCCGTCGCGAGCGGGTGCTGAAGGTTCGTAGGACGCGGTAGCAGGCGCGTGAGCAGCAGCAGGACAGGGAGCAAGAAGGTGGGCGTGCAGGCCATGGCTGTCCCAGCCAACGAAACACGCAGGCGACTCACCATGGTCTCCACCAACCTGGACGTCGATACAGGCGCCCCGGGCTCGATCGCGCGACAGGTCGACCGCAGCAGCAAGTAGTAGTAGTAGTAGTAGTAGTAGTAGTAGCGAGGCCCTTGCTGCCAGCAGTTGACGGTTCATCAGGACCTCCGGCAGATGCATCGCAGCAAGCGTCGGATCGTACGCCTCTTTGCCCATACCCGCCAAACGCCATCTCGTGTAACCGTAGGTTACGCGCCTGCGTGATGGTCTTCTGGATCGACGAGCAGCCCCAGCCGCGGTCGTCCGCCAACTTCATGACCACCGACAGCACCGTACGACGAGGAGCTCTCCTTCAGAATCAACAGATCTGCACTGACGCAGAGCAACGTCGCCTGCCTCCGTTCCCCGACAGAGGTGCTGGAAGTCGCTGAGTGATACTGGATATGCACGGTGAGGAAGGTGATCCATAGGTTCGGGGTCGTGGCGCATTGACAACATTCGTCCAGGCTGGCGAGACGCCCGCGGGATCATCGTGCTCATGCCTCACGAACCGGCGATGGCAAGGGACAGGTAACGTTGGGCGACGACCCAACGCGGCGCGCGCGATTCGGAGGGTGTGCGAGGAGGCGGACTGGCTGTCGCCGGAGCCGTACACGTAGCGTGGGCGAGGGGGGAGGCGTAAGTGAAAGTAGCGTTAGTCGACGGTCGTTGGGAGCCTGCCCCGTCCAGAGTTGAACATCCGCACGGTCACCAACGTCGCA